TGAATTATTTCGTCTCGGGAATAATTTGAAACATAATATGATACATCACTTTTCTACAAATTTGATTAAAACATGATTTCATTAATATAAATCCAGCTAAATATATAGGATACTTTAAGCTTACCATGCCTTTATTCATCTCTATATGATCCTTAGCTCTTCTATATACGTACTTACAGGAGGGTACAACACAAACTCATCGAAGAAATATGATCAAAAGCTTATCAGTACACCTTGATTACGTAAAGTTATAAGTATATAGAAATTGGCTTTTGATCTCAAAACTTCATATATTCGTTACTTTTACACAGCATTTCCATTGATTATGAAATTCATGATGATACAAATAGTAGGATCGTTAACTGTATTCATTATCTATATACAATCTATTGTTCATTAAGTAATTCATTATTGGGACTTTAGCACCTTTTGCTGCATCTTTCAGCTTTTAATTGTTCTTTACCTTAACCCACGCCAGGAAATCTATCTATAACAAAATGTTTATCTTTTCCATTTCGACTTCTTTTCATCTGAACTATGATTTTCTTTTTTATAATTCATCCTTTTCTCAATCAAAATACTTTGCGAGTTCTTTAAGAACCCATGATATTGTTTAACAAAAGACGAAGCTTTCTCTTTGTCATTCATAGGTGTATATAAAAGTTTCCTTGCCATTGGTAGCCAAACTTTTTTGAAAAGTATATCTTTGTTTTGAAGTAAAGTATTTAGAGCAGCCCTTTGTTCAGCTATTTTTTCATTTGGGTCAAATCCAAAACCTAGTAAATGATCATTTATAAAACATTTCATTTCAAGTACATCTTTCTCCTTTTGTTCAACACTTACCAAGTACTTAATCGATATTTTTTCACCTCCAAATCTGAATAAATCATTTAGTTTTGTTTTGGCATTGGTTTTATCTAACCCAGATCTAGCAATTGTTAATTCATATTTGTAAAAATTCCTTAAATTTGAATATTCATCCAATTTGAGATCTGAATTCTTTTGTGATAATGAGGTCTTTTGACTTGAATCATTTGAAATTGAATTTAGTATATCCGTAACAACAACTTCTTCATCGATATCAAATAATCTTAAAAACTTTTGATACTTTTTAGAAAAATCTGTATGGCCAAACCCAGTCTTTGACATCTTTAATTCCTTTTTACTCATTGGAAACCAAATATCATGAAATATTTTTTCTTTAGACTCAATAAATACACTCATTCCTGCTTTATTTTCAGCTTCATCAATGGTGTTAGCGCTGGCAGTGCTCATTAATTTATCATTTATAAAACATTCTGATGTTATCTTCGTTCCGGTTTTTGTGGTCTTAAAATAAACAGTTGTGAAGTTAAACATGTCATAAAGTTTACCTTCAGATGATTCAAAACTCAAGTTTTTCATAATATCCTTCCATTCAAAATCAAAAAATCTTCGTAGATTTATGTCTTCAATTTTAGATGAATCAAATTTTTCAGTATCATTACCACTAATTGATTCTTTGGTGAGTTTTGATATATTATTCGATTTTAATAAATCATTAGTTTTAATTTTCCCATTTCTAAAATCATTCAATAAAGCCATAATATCAACTTCTGTAATATCTTTACCATCTTTTTTCATCTCCAGGAAATTTGCTATATCTTTAAGGAAATTTATCAATTCAGCCTTATACCATCCACCCCTAATTCTACGATACATCCATGGTAACCAAACTGATTTATAAATTTTCCCACTTGCTAAAGTTATTGTCCTAAAAGCTGCTTTTTCTCTAGAAACATCTTTATCTGAATCTCGTCCTCCACCAACAAACTCTCCAAAAATATGGCATTCAGTTATATAACCATCAATGGTATTTCGTGTTTTATAAGTCACCAAATTTTTATTCCCACCCAAAAGATTTAAAAGTGCTTCAATGGAATTTTTGAAAACAAATTCATTTTCTGCCTTTTGTAAAGAATCTTCCCAAAGTTTTTTTAATAGTTTTGAAAGATCAAGTTGAGGTTTTTCTAAATTTAGTGAATTTGAAAAAGTTTTAGTTGGATTGTTAATAGGAATCTTGTCAACATTTTGTAAATTTGAATCATCAGCTTGTCTATCTATTATTTTAATAACTCTTGGTATAATTGGTTCTATAATTGATTTTAAGAAATCATAAGTCTTGATATCCTTATTTTCCTTTTGTGCTAGATACAACATACCAAAATATGCTTTTAATACTTTATTTGAATCATCAATCTTGAAACTATCTTCTTGAATTTCAAAATTATCTTGACTACCATAATTATTAACACGTTCATAATTTTTCTTCAAATTCACAAGAATATCAAATGGGAATATCCAATAAACAAGAATTTGTTTAATTTTGTCATTAAATTTATCCAATTTATCTTTATCGACATCTAATTCATATAATATCTTGATAATTTCCTTTTCTAAATGAGCCTCACCTAATAATGCAAAAGTTTCGATATTTTCATCAAGGTTTTTCGATGGTATTTGATTGAGAATCTTATATATTTGATAGTCATTCAATTCTTCTAAAGTTGGCAATTGTGGTCTCTTGTGCTGGGTTTCTGGTTGGATTTCTTCCACATTTGATATGATTTCTGATTCTGCACTTGTTGTTGATGTACTTTGAAATTTTTGTAATCTTAGGTCAGTATTCACGCGTCGTATAACATGATAATCATGGACTATTGGTCTTCTTGTGATTGTTTTAGAACATTGAGGAGCACCTCGTATGATACATCTAAGCATTTATATCTGTGGTTGTAGCTTCGATTATGATCTTAACTATGTAATAAAGTGAAAAATTATGAAAGATTCGTCTCGGGATTAATTTGAGGCTAGATTTTACTATGATAGATATCACTATTTCTACAAATTTAATTAAATCATAACATTCATTAACTCTAGATAAATATATATAAAATTCTAAACTCCTAAAACACCAAAAAGCTTCTAAACATTCACATTAGAAGCTGCAAACTTAACACATAAAGATAAGAACCGATTTGGTGCAGTAATGGCACCTTTTAAAGGTATACTTTGACAACCAATATCTAATTTTGGTTTACTTGTAGTTGGACCAAAATCAACAAAATTTTTACCTTCTTTAAGGGCAATTTCAATGACTTTTTGCATCATTACAAAATATGCTTTATATTCTTTGCCCTGTGAATAATCAATTCCTTGTAAATCTGAAGTTATTGTATCACCTAATCTATATAATACTGATGATGCTAAATTTTCATTATTAACTTTTAGGAATAATAAAGAACGATCTTTATTTTCATTAACTTCACCCATTGACATTATGAAATCTTCATTTGGATTAATTAAATTTGAATGTTTACCTGATTCTGATTTTTTATTTGAAATGTTTTTCCATAATTTAATTAAATCTTGAGAGTCTTCCGTTGTAAATTCAAATTTTTCTAAAACTTCACCACTATCTTCACTAAATTTAGTATCAATATTTCTATATTTTATTTGTTTAAGGTAAAATGATAATGATTTCCCCTTATAAGGTCTTAAATCAATAACATGAGATGATGGTAAAGGTAAAGTATTCCAACCACTTGCTTCAATAGCAGATGAACTATGATCATTTGCATAAGTTGGATTTAAAATAATTGAACATTTCTCCCCTGCATTTAAATTTGAATTCCAATGACTTATTGCCTCCATCACAGCAGCTGATCTTGCAACTGGTTTCTTTGTTGAACTACAATAAAATGTAGCTTTTCTAAAAGGCCAATGGAACCCTAATAAACCAAAACGAATAGTCATTAATCTTGTCATTGAATTAACACCAAAACAATAGGATAAAAATTTACCAAATGGACCTTCAACTGAATTTGTTAAATCATAATCTTCAATAACTGTTAATAAAGAAATTGCTTCTGTTGAAATTAATTTTTGATAAAATTCTTTAGCTTTTTCATAATCTTCTTCGGTATTTATAGTTTCATTATTGAAGAACGAAGTTGATTGGTTACTTTGTTGTTTCTGTTGTTTCTTTTGTTGTTTTTGTTGTTGTTTTTTTTGTAATTTTTTTAATTGATTCTTGGATAACGGTTTAGCATCTTCAACTAAAGTTTCCACAGAACTATATCTTTCAAAATCATCATCAAATATTAAATTTTGTTTATCAAGGGCATCCCAACCTTTATAAGTTTCATAAGTTGGTAAATTTGATTCAATATCATCTTTATAAATTCTTAAAACTTTACATTTCATTCCCTTTAATGGAGATATTGAATATGCTTCTAATAAAGCCATAGCAGCTTGACCATCAATTCCTGGGTTTGTTTTATGATTAAATTGAATTAATTTAGCAAATTCAGATTTTTGAGTTTTATTTAATTTTGATAATTCAATTTCTTCAACTTTTAATTTATTTAATTTTCTTGGTGGATTAAGATAAATTTTTGAAGATTTTAAAATTATAATACTTGATATAATTAAGACTGCAAATAAAATGGGGAAAACATTTTTATTTATAACACCATGATATTTCTTATGATTTGCTGAAGTTTCAATTGACACGATTAATGAAGCAAATATTAAGACAATAACCAATAGACAAAAAAAATTGAAAAATTTTATAAATTTTTGTAAGATTTTTTGAAATTTTTCATATTCATGAATTTCAATTAATGAAATATAAATACCCACTATGGATAAAGCAACAATAAAAGAATTTGTATGTATAAAGAATGAAATTTTTTGTTGGAAAAATTTTAAAACTTTTTGATCTGTAATTGTTGATTTCCTTAATGAAACATTAATTAATTGAACTAGACCAATATTAACCAAGAATTGGAATATACAAGAAATTAATAAAATAAATCTTGATGATTTAAAATTTGAAATTTTTAAATATAAAACATTTAATAAATTTATGAATAATAAAAAATCAAATAATAATGAAGCAACTTGAAATACAGCTAATGTTGTAACATAAGATTGATTTTGATTTAAATCATCTTCATAAAAAGGTTGATTTATTGTGAATAACCAAGTAATTTTAAAAATTATTAAAATACCTAAGAATAACATTAATAAAAATTCAAAAAATTTCAAAAATTTCTTTAGGATGAAACCATTTTTTAATTTATTATTTAAATATTGATTAAATTTTAATTTAATTGAATTATGATGTGATAATAATAAAAAAATTGAACAAAAATCTAATATTATACCACAAACTGAACTTATATTAATTTCATCTTGAGGAGCAACAGATTGGAAAAAAATTAATTCAATTAAATTTGTTATAATTGCATAAATAAGGATAAACCATTTTGATATAAGAATTTTAAAATTATGTTTTTGTAAAAATGGTGGTATAATTGATTTTATGGATTTCATTTTAAATTCCCAGTCATGATGATTGAAATGATTATAAATATTTTAAATTTTAAATAAATCAAATGATTTATATATGAACGTTATCATATTTTAAAATTATGCATAACTTCTTAAATATTATTATTTTTTTGAAACGGGCTATAGCCTTATGTTAATGATCTAAATTAAGTTTTGAATAGACGTCACCCTAATACGAACTTTTTGAGATAACTTACGAAATAATCATGAAAAGCATTGATTCAATGGAAGCTAATGTGATCATATTAATATAATAAGCAAACCTATTTCACTTGTCTTCCTTTAAACTTTTCTTGATAGACAAGACATTAACGGTTAACGGATTTAAATATTTTCCTTTTTTTTTGGTTTCTCCAAGTGATGACATAATCATTATACGTCATTTTAATATCATATTTTACTTACCTTTTGAACCAATATAAAACCAATCAAGATTATCAAATTTCTTCAATTCAACATTTGATAGCGAGTTATAATAGTCAAATAAATTTTGGGAAATTAAAGAGTTATTAATTTCCAAAGGTTTAATTATTTCTTCATTTTGAATTGCGGTTATTTGAGAAGGTATGGGGAATTTTAATTTATAACTTTGTAGATATTCATAATTTTGTAAAAGTAATCTATTTGGGTGGATTTTATGGATTTTATTGGGTTTATGGAATTTATTTTGTTTGATGGTTTGAGGTTTTGTTGATAATCTTGATTGAATTGGAAGTTTAGTATTCTTTGATTTACTTGTATTAGTTTTATTAACTTCATTAACTTCAATAATTTCATCTTTATTGTTGATTTTATCAACTTCATTAACTTCAATATCATCATTATCAATTTTTTCAACAGAATTATCAGGAGTTATTAAATAATTACTATTATTCCCCTTTTTCTGTAAATTCATTAAAGTAAATGGATTTGAAATATTTAAATTTTTAGAAATATTAAAATCTTCATCAATTAATTCCATAATTGGTTGTTGATCTAAAGTTGAAGATCTTGATGATAATTTATCATACATATTTGTACTCCAATCTATATCTTGTGATGATGTAGTTTGTTGATTTGAAGTATTGATTAAATCATTTGAATTAGAGATTGGTTCAATATCTTTATCATCAATTTTTGGTTTTAATCTTAGATTTTGATCTTGTTCTAATTCTAGATCTTCATCATCATCAACTTCAATTTCTTCAACTTCTTTTTCCTTGTATTGTTTATCATTGTCAATCTCTTTATTTAATTGATCTTCTAACTCTAAATCATCTGAATCATATAAATCAATATTTTTGTTATGAACTCTTGATATTTCAATTTCTTCATCATTATCCTCAATTTCAACTTCTTCAACTTCATCTTCAATTTTATTATTATTACTAGTATTATTATTATAATTATTATTTTTAGTTTTATTATTAATTTCATCAATTCTATTAATCCCATGAATCTCCCTAACCAACCCAATCAACTTTTCTCTCAACCCCTCAATCAACCCCTCCAATCCATGAATTAAAACATCATTTTTTTCAGGTTCAACATTAACATCAATCAAATGTCTTTTATTTGTTTCTAATTCTAATACCCATACCCCAGGTTTAAAAAGATTTAACTCAGAATATAGTGATTTTATTAATTTCCATAATTTCCAACCTGTAGAATTATATTGATTATGATTTAATATTCTTTTATTTATTGAAATTATAATCATGTTTTTAGAAGTTATAAGATGAGATGATGTATCCATTATTGGTAATATTGTATTAAATGACCAATCCTGATCAATTGATTGATTTTGAAATTCAAATAATTGGGGTATTTTTTGTGGGATGTTTAATTTTTGGATAAATTTTGTTATATTGGGTGTGTTGGAATTATAAATTATATTTTGAGTTATTTTATTATGGTTATTTATGAATTTTAATTGAAATCTTATATGAGGATGAATTATTGAATAATTGAATATTAATTTTTGTAAAGATTCAATGTTTTGAGATTTTAATTTTGATAAAATTTTGTATCTAACAGGAGTTGATTTAAAAATATTTTTAATTGTTAATTGAGTTCCTTTGTTCATTGCAATGGGTTTGGGGTTACCTATAATATCACCATTCATACCAATTTTCCATTGTGAACCAATGGTATCCCCAGTTGATCTTGTTATAAATTCCATTGAACCAATATTATTCTGACAAGTTAATTGATTTATAAAGAATAAAGCTTCACCTCTGAATCCTAAGGTAGATATACCTTGTATATCACTTATATCACTAATTTTTGAAGTTGTATGATTTTGGCATATTAAATGTCTATCTTCCTTGGGGATTCCTTGACCATTATCAATTATATTTATATATTTTAAACCACATGTCATTGAATCTAAAGTTATTATTATAGAAGTAGCATTAGAATCAATTGAATTTTCAATTAATTCTTTTATAACTGAAACGGGTGAGAATATATTTGCACATGAAGTTATTGAATGGATTGACTTGAGATCTATGTGTTTGAGGGGCATGTTGTGATGTTGTTATATTTATTGATCATGGCGGTTAATTCAATGCTATTGATTTGAATCCATTGTTTACTATAACGCGATACACGAAAATAAAATAATAATAAATATATAAATGCCATCCACCAGATTCGAATGGATGACTGTCCCTTTGTGTACCTTTTTAAATTTCTTTTTCCAGTCCCTTAAAAGTTAAAATTCTTTGCCTTCTCCATAATAAAATAAAAATAAATAAAAAGGTACAGTAAGTACTAAGAATAACACAGTTGAGATGAGATAGAATAATGATATAATAGATAATGGTATAGTAGATATATTATATATAATACTATAATACTATAATACTATATACAACACACGTTGTAATGGAACATAGTATCACCCGAGTCCCGTAGATCATAATCTAATCACAAGACACACTATAAATATAATTAGTAGACGTATAAACATAAACAAATCATGAAGTAAAATAAAATAAAGTAAAACAAATAATATACACAATATAATGTAGTCTATAATATTACAATAATACAACCTATACTAGTATAAAATATATAAGGCCTATATCATTTACTACGCCTCTCAATACACGTAATTGAGTGATCCTCGGTTCCAAGACTGATGAAAAACAAACATGAAAAACAAAAAATTAAACTGCACTCGAGAAGGAAAAAACAATCAAATAAAAATTTATACTTGAATATTTTATACTTGAACAAATATTTAAAACTCTTTGCATACCTTCATTTATATATTATTACTCACATATCACATTACTATTACATCACATATCACACACATTTGCTACCTTATACACACACACCCCAAGGCTTTCTTTCATATGCAGTAAAAGCCTCTCCTTATACAATACATCCAACATGATTCAAAAAATAACATCAATACCAATATTTATTATAAAATTTTTATTGAAAATTATAAAATCTGGTTTAAATGAAAGAAATTTATTTACATTCCCATTAAATTTTTTTATAAATTTCCTTCCAATTTCTATATGGTTAACAATTTTTAAAAATGCTGGAATTTTACCAAATGAAATTAGACCAAAAATTTATGTTTCATTAATTTATAACTTGGATTTACAGATATTTAAACCAACTTTTATTAATATCTTTATATGGTGTTTAATAACCCTTGGGTTTACTTACTTATGGTATTTAATTATTCAAAAAAAATCATTCCATTATAACCTAAACATCAATACAAATTCAATTTTACCAAAAATTCCAGATGAAGAAGAACAATCTTATGAATTTGAAAATTTCCAAGACTCAGACGAACCATCAACTTCATCATCATCAACTGACTCATTACCAAATTTCCATAGTTCATCCCTTTCAATCTCCCCAAAAAAAATCACAAGATTTCATTCATTATATTTAACTCCAATAATTTTTTTTTCAGTTTGGCCAATGTTAAACATTGTTGAACATTTTGCTCAACATATAACAGTCCCAAAGGATTTAACAGCATGGTTCTTCTACGTGTTAGGTCATATAACATTCCCAATATTAACCGCGGTTTACCTCTATGTGTTTCATCCACCAGGTATCTTAAAATGTTTTTCCATTGCATTAGGTTTACAAAACATCGCAGGTGTCTTAACTCACTTATTATTCCCAAATGCTCCACCATGGTTTATTCATCTTTATGGACCAGATTCGGATGCTAATTATGATATGCCAGGTTATGCTGCTGGTTTAACAAGAATTGATGTTACTTTGGGGACTCATTTACATTCCCAAGGGTTCCATAAATCTCCTATAGTATTTGGTGCTTTCCCTTCATTACACTCTGCAATGGCTGTTCAAGTATTCTTATTCATTTGGTATTTTGCAAATTTTAAAATCTTGAGAATTGCAGCCCTTGGGTTTGTTTATATTCAATGGTGGGGAACTATTTACTTGGATCATCATTTTAAAATTGATTTAATTGCTGGTTGGGGTTATGCTTTAATTAGTTTTGCTATAGTTTATCCTTATTTAAGGAAAAAAGAATTGGAATTTATTCAAAATAGATTAAATTTAAATTTTAAAAAGGGGTCAACTATGGGGATGAGAGTTTTTGATAGAAATTCAAAGATTCAGAAATTTTTTGATCCATATAGATGAAGCGCTAAACTGAAAAGCGTTAGCTTTTTAGTTTGAATTAAATAAAGGATATTAAAAAAGCTAACCGCTTTTCTATCTCTTTTTGCTCAATTAAAAGTCCGCTCTTTTCATTTATTTACTTGTCATTTACATATCGTTTGCTCATATCATATCATATATTTGTACATTATAAGTCATTTTACATCACCATTGTTATTTTTTATAATTTTATATAATCATCATAATATAATATTATTCATCATCTTTATTATTAGATTTAAAAAAATTCCAAATTTTCCCCCATAAAGTTTCTCTAAATGGCCATTGTAATTGTAAAATTTTTGATCTTTCTAAATCTAAAAATCTTAATTGTCTTAACAAACTTTGAACAATTTCATAATTTTCCAACACTATTGGTTTTTTCTCTTGTTTTTCAGTTTTGGTATTATAACAATCTTGATAATCTTTCAAACTTTCAATAAATTTTTTATAAACATCAGTTAATTGGAAAAAAATTTCAAATTTTAAAATTTCAATCTCTTTTAAAATTAATTGTCCATAAACATATTCACCATTTAATCCTTGTTCTTCTAATCTCTTAGTTTTTAATTTTAATTCACCATATTCTGCAAGTGATTTCCCATATTGCCTTTGGGCTTGTTTATTTCGTTTCTTCATTAATTCAACATCTTTTGCATCAAATTCTTTAATAATTTCATCCAAGTCTAAATTTGATGATGAATTAAAATATTGGGATGATATATCTTTTGGTGATTTATGTGGTGGAATTATTGTATTATTAATTGATGCTTGTTTCATTTTGGGTAATAAAAATGATTGATTTGCAATTGCAGATGATGATCCTAAAGTTGATAAAGATCCTAAAGATCCTGTTGAATTTGTTGAACTTGTTATTGATTCTGACATTTTTGGTAATATTGGTGATTTGGGGTCCAAATTTGGACTATAAAGAATTTGGATTGAGGACATGGTGTAAGAAAAGCTTTGGGTTTATATAGCTTGAGTTATGGTTATATTCTCATTTGAGCTGTTTTATAGGGTTACTTCATGTTGTTTATATTCTCACTAGTTAAACCCGAATACCATTTTTGTGTCAAAATTAACTACACAAACAAAAAAATAAAAAGTAAAAACCATGCAACCATAACATTTATAATTTATAGTCTATTTCTCTAACTCTTCAAATGCTTTAACTAATGAATCAACCGCTTTTTGAACATCTTTAGCTGAATTATATAATGGAATTGGTGCTAATCTAATAACATCAGGTCTTCTTTCATCACCAATAACACCTTGATTTCTTAAACTTGAGAAGATTTTATCCATTATACCAGGTTCACCAATTTCAACATTTGTTCTTGGGAAAAATAATAATGATAATTGAGCACCTCTTTCAAGGGGTGATTCTGGTGTTATGATTGTAAATTTTAATTCATTTGAATTTAATGTAAATGAATCTTTTGGAGAAATATAATATTTTGTTGATTTTAATAATTTTTCTAATAAATTTGTTAATAATATACTTTTATTTCTTAATTTTTGAATCCCTCCTGCCTTATTAAAAATATCTAATGAAGAATTTAATGAAACAACATCAATAACACTTGGATTTGATTGTCTGAATCCTAATGCCCCTTCAATTGGTTCAAATTTTTCCAACATTTGAAATCTTTTGGAAGAATTATTTCCCCACCAACCTGATAATCTTGGTTTATAATTATCTTCATCTATTTTACCATGAATTTCATGAATGAAAATACCTGAAATTCCACCAGGTCCTGAATTTAAATATTTATATGAACACCATGTTGCAAAATCCACGTTCCAATCATGTAAATGTAATGGAACATTCCCTACAGCATGTGCTAAATCCCAACCAACAATAATATTAAATTTTTTAGCAAATTTAGTAATTTTTTCAATATCAAAAAATTGTCCTGTATAATATTGAATACCTGGTAACATAATTAGTGCTAATTCTTTATGATTGGCTTCAATTGTATCCAAAATATCCTGGGTCCTTAAATGATATTCACCCTCTTTAGGTTCCAATTGAATAATATTTTCCAATGGATCTAAATTTTTCAATTTGATTTGATTAAAAATTGCATAATAATCTGAAGGAAATGAATTTTTTTCAAATAATATCTTAGTCTTTGAACCCTGAGGTTGATAAAATGCAACCATCAATGCATTTAAATTACTAGTTAAAGATCCCATTATAGCAATTTCTGAATCTAATGAACCAACAATTGGTGATAATTTTGGTATACAAGGTAAATCAATATCCATCCAATTTGTTTTCCCTTGGGTTTCAGAACCAGGATGACTAAAATGTGATTCAACACCTCTTTGAGACCAAGCATCTAATTCATCATTAATGGCTTTACGTGTTTGTGTAGGCATAAGTCCTAAACTATTACCACATAAATAAGTTATTTGTGATTCATTTGTGGATAAACCTAATGATTTAAATGTTGGGATTTGAAAATCTTGAGATAAATTTGGGAAATTTTTATCAATGGTTTGGATTTCTTCTTCAATCGATGACATTGTGTACGTTATTGAAAAAAGGAGGTTGAATTGTGAAGTTGATTGGGTTTGTTGAAAGGTATGTCAGCACTGAGCATAGTTTTGAGAGTGTCATCATGCGATTATAGCTTTTAATTGATTTCTCGATACATCTGAACACCACCGTTTGTTTAATGGTGTCTGGATTTATTGAATTTAGCTGTTAACTTATATATAATTTTGAATAAAGTAAATTGATTGAAAGAACATTGTTAAATTATTAATAAAGTTGATTTTTATAATATATGAAAGATATATTTTGTTCAAATGTAGTCAAAATGACGATAAAAGAGGTTTGAAATTTTGGGTTTTTTCAATTTTGGTTAAATTATCTTTAATTTCCATTAACGATGGTCACCTAAATTCTAAAATTCTAAAATTCCCAAATTTTCAAAGGCATTATTTCGTTATAAAACCAAGCTCATAATATATCTTATCACTATTTAAGTATTAATTTGTATTAAACACTACTCTTACACTAAAACTTATTGAGATATCGCAATATCTAATAATTTTCCCCTTTCGGAGCCCCCGAATTACTTGCATGAATATTAGAAGAAATTCAACATTTCCAAAATTCCAAAAAAGTTAATATAAGAAACTAAAATCCTTAAATTTTATTTCATCCATGAAAAGAAACTCAGCGGCTAATTGATTAATCAGAAATATCAAATACAAAGTGATCCAAAACTTCCCCATTATACACACAGCGGTTAGATGTTAAACAACTATACAAGTTAGATTAAGATATATTCTTTCAAGTTATACAGGGCGCTTAATTGTTTTAGTGTTGGTGATTACATTTCTAGTTCCATAAATCAAGATCCAATTGACACCTAATTAAGATGGCGGCGGCTCGTACCAGCAGCAGTAGAGGTGGAAGTCATGAAGGACAAGGCCTGAACAGGGTCCCATTGAATGCTCATAGACAACAATTACAAAGAGAGATTGATCGTATTGCTGGGTTATTGAACACTAGAGAAGTCCATGCTGATGCTATCCTTCGTTCCACTTTTAATGATCAAGGTGGCGCTCCATCAAATACACCTGAACATTCTCCAAAAATGTTGAATGGTTATAATGATTCAAATTATGTCACAACTCCTGGTGTTATTGATAATAAGAATAAATCTAAAACAATGAAACCTTTGAAAATGCAATTATTGGAACTGAAATCAAATGATGATCCTAATGCTCTTTATCAACAACCATATAAAAAATTCCTTAGTATTAATGATTTATTAACTTCTGAAAATGATTCAACTTTCCCAGGATCTTCTCCATTAGGTGATAAAACTTTAGAATTCATAAATCAAACTACAATGACTGGGAATCATACAATGTTTCTCAACACGGTACAGTCACCACTTGATCCAAATAAGAAGACTAGTTCTGCTAATAGTGGATCCCATAACATGAATGGTACTGAAACTTCAAATTTCCTTCCAATGAGTGTCTTGGATACAAATAAACCATCAAATTTACAAAGTTCTCCAAATAGAAATCAATATCATATGAATTTACCATATAATAATAACAACAACAGACCTAAACAACCAAATTTATTTGATAATATTAATGGTGGCCCTTCTTCAAATGATGGGAAACAAAATTGGGTAAATCCATTTGGTTTACCAGATCCTAAAAATGAATTAGCATTATCTAGTTCACCACTTCCAAATTTTGAAACAAGATTCCCAGAACCTAAACCAATTCATGAATTATTTGATTCTGTCCCAGTTGACTCACATTTAAGAGAAGAAGAAGAAGATGATGATGAAGAAGAGGATGATGTAAATGACAATGATAATACAGTGTCTGAACATGAATCAGAAGACAACGGAGATGATGATGATGATTATGTTTATCACCAGCCAAACATCACAAATAATCAAGATATTATGAATCCAGTTAATTCAAATTTGCAACAAATTTCATCAACATCAAGTTCAAAACCATTGCCAATTACTAAATCAAATTTGAAGACCAAAACACAAACCAAACCAAAAACCAAACCACAACCTAAACCAAAAACCAAACCAAAAACCAAACCACAAGCAAAACCACAACCTAAACCACAACCTAGACCTCAAGTACATGATAATGAACCAAAGTCAAGTAATATCGCAAGTGATACTATAGACTCTCAATTGAAGTTAGAAGATCAATTACAAAGAATGTCAAAATCAACTCAAGAAGATTCAGAAGAATTACCAAATTTTGAAATATCATCAAATATTAAAAATGCTTTACGTAAAAGGAAAAAAATTAGTTATAATTTAGAAAGAATAAATTCATCTGATGATTCTCCAAAAACTTCAAGACTGAAAAGAAGAGCCAAAAGACAAAATATTCAACCAAAAACTTCTCATCTTCATTCATCATCACCAAGAAAATATAAACGTACATCAAGTAGTGGATCAAATAGATCATATAGACGTAAAAAATCAATTCAACCAAGATCAAAATCAGGTTGTTGGACTTGCAGAATTCGAAAGAAAAAGTGTACAGAAGAAAGACCATCATGTGAACAATGTATTAAATTAGGATTGATATGTGATGGTTATTCTGAAGAAAGACCACATTTTATGATGAATCAACAATCTCAAAGACAAAGATTAGATGAAATTAAACATCATACAAGTCAACGTAAAAAGATTGGAGTTAAAAAAGTAAGAATTGATGAGTAAATAATAATCATCTTTCAAATGTTGCTGGTCAATTATTGAAAAAAAAAACATCACAAGAATAAAGAAAACATAAACCTTCCCTTTTATAAACCTATCATAATATTATCCATAAATTAATATGAGTTTTAAAAGTTGCATTATAAATATTCCCCATTGCTAATAATTATTTAATCCTTGCATATCTATAGAAAGTGTATTTTATTTCCATAAATGTGTTTAAAAAATTAAAAGTTTTAATCATAAAAACAAATTCTATTAACGAGGTGTAGAATTATTACCATTTTCTGGATTACCATATTGAAATTGATTTGGTGTAGTTGGCATTTGCTGTTGCTGTTGTTGTTGCTGTTGTTGTTGTTGTTGGTAGTAGTATTGTTGATATGCTGCATAGTTATAATATGATTGTTGAGCTTGTTGAGCTTGTTGTTGTTGAGACTGTAAAGGTTGTAAAGGCTGTTGTTGTGGTGGTTGTGGTTGAGGTTGTTGATATTGTGCATAAAGATCTTTATACTGATGATACATGTTATTGGTTGGTGCTGATTGTAAGTTTGGATTAGAAACATTTGGTTGTTGTTGATACATTGGATAATAATTTTGATATGATGGGAATGGTGATGTATTAGTGAATGGTGATTGATTAAAATTGTTATTGTTATTGACATTAGCATTGTTATTAGCATTGAAATTATTGAACCCATTTAATCCATTTAAGTTTTGTGAAAATGAATTATTATAATTAGAAGGTTGAGGTGATTGATTAACACCTTGTGATGACCAACCTGAATTAATATTTTCATTATTTGGAGTTTGATTAATTGATCTTGAAATAAATGCATCATCAACTAAAGAATCAACCATTGTAGCATAATTTTGATCTTTTCTAGCATTTGTGAGTTTGGATTCCAATTCTTCAATACTTAATACTGCTTGATGTGAAGTTGTTGGTTTATTAGAAACTGAAACCTTTTCAAGACCTTTGGTGATTGCAGTTTCTTTATTAACAATAACAGGATTTTCAACTTTTTGTTTAAAAGTGGTTTCTGAAATTTCAATAACACCATCAGATTCAGAACTTGATTGGGAAACTGAAATGGCTTTTGAAGGTTGTGTTCCACTTTGGGTTTGAGATTGAGGTTGAACTTGAGCTTGTGTTTGCTCTTGTTCTCTAGCCTTTTTATTTGCACCTCTCTTTCTTCTATTTTTCTTAGCGTTAGCGGTTTCAGATTGTACTGCTGAATTCTTTGGTTGAGTTTTAAATTGAGCACCAGGAACTTCAACTCTTTTAATTTCTTTAGCATCGTCAATATTGAATTGATTTTTATCAGATTCAAATTTAATACCAACACGGTTTGCATTGATAATTTTCTTCCCCAGATAACCAACAGAGTAAATTCTCAATTTATTTTCCTCCTTGTTAACATGTTCACCATCTTCACCTAATAATTTGAAAAAAATATCAGGGCTATTGAATATAGGTGCATCATCAAAATCACGGAACAATTTGTTGATTGGTGTAAATTCTCTTAAACCAACATCTTCCATGAAATATTGTGTTCTAGTTGGAATTTGTTGGAAATCATGATCAGGAACATGTTTAAATAACAAATTTAATACTGAAGCAGTATTTTTCAGGAAATTCAAATCTCTATGAGCATATTGTAGAGCATTTTTATTAGTTCTCAACCAGGTTAAAACAAGACGTAATAATGGTAATAGATTCAAACTTTTGAATTTATCAAGAGACCATTGTTCAACGAAAAATCTTTCAATGATTTCAATAAATTCAAAAGTAAACTTAAACGATTCTTTATCTTGTGGACTTAATGTTGAATTATTTGATGATCCTGATAAGGATATACCACCAATCAATAAAATTAAAAGTTTTTGGAATAGGAAAACATCTTGTCCTTTTGAAGCAATCCCTGTCAAAAGCTTGAAAAGATCAGCTTTAACATCTTTCACGGGAGTACCGTTGATGAAATATCCTTCAGATCTCTTCCATTTACTTGGGTTGAAATAATAACCATATAATGCAAGGAAGTAAGTAGATAAATATTTGTGACGATTCTTGTTGTTGATATTGTTTTCCAGTCTTAATCTATTGAGATCATCAATGATTTGTGTAGTACTGTTGATACAAACATTGAAGTTTGCAGATCCCAATTTTGAAGGAGTTCTTGCTAATGCAGATCTTAAGAATTCATATGCAGCTAAAAGTTTATCATCTTGAGCATTATAAACCATACCAATATGATTTCTAGCTTCACCAAATGCAGGAAGAAGTAATTCAGAATAATGACAAAACTCTAATGCACGATCAAAGTTTTCATGATCTGCCTTCGGAAGAAATCTTGATAGTGTACTTCTATAACGTGATGTAGAACCTAGAAATAACAAGGAACGATGAACCATATAAACCAACTTTACAATTGTATTTCTATCAGATTTTTCAATTGAAATTGCATTCTTCTCTATTGTTAATCCCAAGAAATTATAAAATGAAGTTGGAACAATAAACCCTAAATTATGATGTGTTAAAGTATGCTTGAGCAAATCTAAATAAAAAGCAGCAGCTAGCTTGGCTGCTTTTCTAAAATTATCATTCAACTTCCTTAGTTCAACGGTTCTTTTCTTATTTAAATGAGTTTCTTGATGTTTTAAATCTTGAGCTATCGATTGATAATACTTGAACACCGGATGGTAAAATTCAGTCCATATTTTGTCAATTAAAGCTTCAGCTGATTGTGTGGAGCTAACAGTATTTGAGTCTTGAGCCAATGGAATATCAGAGCCATTTGAAGCATCTGAGAACTTTCTAATAGAATCATTGACATCCTTGATGATTAACCCTAAGAATTTGGATCTTACAAAATTCAAAATACCTGAGATCAAGACATCATCTGGTGTGACACCGGATAAAACTTCTGAAAGTTGTTTTCTGGAGTCTGCTATTGAATTAAGAATGAGTGTAGGATCAGGTGTTGTCATAATTGGTTTGAATGGTACGAAATTGCAACAATGTGGGCTTCAAGATGTGTTAATAATGGTATTTGTGTATGGGAGAAGTCTTTGGTACAAAAAGATGGCAGCGCAAAGACACTCGAACGATTTTGAAGCTTGGATAAGGACAGTCGTATAGATGATGTGATGGAATAGAGTCTGATTGTCTCAGCCTAAAATCATTATAGTCCTCTTTTCTGGCGATTTTGAGCTTTTAATACCCAGTTGAAAGTGCTCGTGAAAGCTCTCAGCGTTTTTTTTTTGTTCTTCTGACTTCGAACACGAAACACGTAAACCGTTGACAGACGAGGGACGCGGCCAAAAACAAAACATCAATATCAAATGTGAAGAATCAGGCGTTGTTTGGCATCAGAAGCCCATAAACAAAGAGTTGAATAAACTCGTTTACCAATCTAGATATAAAGGATGAAAGTGCTCTGTGTTGCTGAAAAAAACTCCATTGCAAAAGAGGTAGCAAAGATCTTGGGAGGCGGTCGTATACAGATCTCGAACTCGCCCTATAAATATGTCAAAAATTATCAATTTACATTCAATTTTCCACAGCTAGGGAACTGTGATGTTACTATGACAAGTGTTGCTGGTCATCTCAGTGGAATGGATTTCCCAGATGCGTATAAATGGGGTCGCTGCTCACCGGGGAAGCTTTTTGAAGCTCCAATCGTGATAACAATGAGTGATGATCAAAAGAAAATCGCACAAAATATTGAACGTTTAGGTCGAACAGCTCAAAAATTGATGATTTGGACAGATTGTGATAGAGAAGGTGAATATATCGGTAAAGAGATCTTAGATGTTGCTAGAAAGGGGAACCCCAATATCACCATTGATAATACATTAAGAGCACAGTTTTCGCATTTAGAAAGAAGTCATGTATTGAAAGCCGCTAGAGAACCAATAAAGTTAGACCAGAATGCTATAAATGCAGTTGAAACTAGAATGGAACTTGATTTGAGAACAGGTGCTTCATTCACAAGATTCCTTTGTGATGTTTTCCAAAAATACAAAAACGCAAATTTAGTTGATGTTGTATCTTATGGATCTTGTCAATTCCCTACAGTAGGGTTTGTTGTTGATAGATTCAAGAGAATAAAAAATTTTGTACCTGAGGAATTTTGGTACTTAGATATTAGTGTTAGAAAGGGGAAAATAACGAGATTTACCTGGAAGAAGAATAGATTGTTTGATAGATTAGCCGCAGTTGTGTTATACCAAAAATGCATGGAAAATGAAAAAGGCACAATTACAAATATAAAGTCATCACCATCCACAAAATGGAAACCACTTCCTCTAACAACAGTTGAATTACAAAAAGGGTGTTCAATGTATTTCAAAATGAGTGCTAAAGAGTCATTAGAAGTCGCTGAAAAATTATATCAAAAAGGGTTTCTCTCTTATCCAAGAACAGAAACAAACGTATACCCCAAAACTATGGACTTGAAAGCCCTCATAGATAAACAAAGACCCGATCAGGTATGGGGTGAATATGCTACAGGTTTATTAGACGGTGATTTGTTTGATACACCGAGACAAGGTAAGAAAAATGATGAAGCACATCCACCTATTCACCCTGTTAATTACTTGAATATTCACAGTCCAGATGCTACTGCTACAGAGAAGAAAGTTTATGAATTTGTTGTACGTCATTTCTTAGCCACATGCTCCAAGAATGCTAAAGGTGCAAGTACAAATGTTGATCTAACATGGGGAACTGAAAAATTTAGCGCAAGTGGGTTACAGGTTTTAGAACTGAATTACTTAGATATCTATAAATACCAATCATGGAAATCATCAGCAGAATTGCCAGAATTTACAATGAATGAACAAGTCAAGATCAACTCAGCAGAACTCAAGAGTGGTAAAACATCACCACCACAACACATTACAGAAACCGAACTCATTGCTCTTATGGATGCTAATGGTATAGGTACGGATGCAACAATTGCAGATCATATTGAAAAAGTTTGCAATAGACAATATATTATCAAAAAGACAGAACGTCAAAAGAAGTTTTTGGTTCCATCTACCTTAGGTATGGCATTAGTTGATGGATTTGAAGAATTAAATTTAAGAAATTCATTAACAAAACCATTTTTGAGAAAAAATATGGAAGAAGAGCTTAAAGCAATCTGTGACGGTGTGAAAAGGAAAAATGATGTTTCTCATGAAATGGTTGAACTTTATAGAGAATCTTTTGCATTATCAGTTCAACATCAAAATGTTATATTGAATGCTTATCAAAGATATAGAAGAGCACTTGGTGAACAAATAATAGCCTGAAAGTAGTGAGGTACATAATTTATTTATATGATATAATAATTTATTCATCATGTCATTAGTGTATTAATATTTAACAAAATGCTAATGGAGGTGGCACCTCAGGTATTAAACCGATTGTGAATTGAGGAGCTGTAAACTGTGCTATAACTTCATCACTCAACTCTGACTTATCGATTCTTTCTGGTTCTTTAGCCGACTGCTTATAAGCAGGTTGGAAATTACCTCCATCTGTTGTTTGTTGAGATCCTCCAAAACTAAAACCACCACCACCGAATGATGCAGAACCTAATCCCTGTGTATTTGCTTGTGAATTACCAAATGGTGAGGCTGTTGTAGTTGATTGACCAAATGCAGATGGAGCAGCTGTTGTAGTTGATTGACCAAATGCAGATGGAGCAGCCGTTGAGGTTTGACCAAATGGCGATTGTGTTGTCGCTTGAGTTCCAACGGCTCCAAAAGGACTATTCGATGAGGCTGCTTGACCAAACGGTGATGAAGTAGATTGAGCAGCAGTAGCAGCAGGCTGTCCAAACACTGAAGGTTTATTAGCAGCAGCAGCACCAAAAGGACTCTGTGAGGTGGATGCACCAAATGGGGATGTAGTTGTAGTTGTATCTGGTTTCTGTTGACCAAAAGGCGATGTACTAGATGCTTGTTGACCAAAACCAGAGGTTCCAAAAGCACTTCCAGTATTTGTAGCCCCTGAAGAAAGGCCAGCAGAACCAAATCCAGAAGTTCCAAAAGCAGAGCCTGTGTTTGTACTAGGTTGCGTAGTTGATGTTGAGCCAGTTCCAAAAATTGAAGGTTTAGATGCCATTGAACCAAAACCTGAGCTGCCAAAACCAGATGAACCAAAAGCAGAAGGAGCAGCAGGAGTAGCAGCACTAGATCCACCAAGTGGCTTACTACCAAATGGAGAGGTGGCTGGTTTAGAGCCGAATCCAGATTGACCGAAAGGTGATGTTGTGTTTGTTGTAGAACTTGAACCGAAACCTTGACTCCCAAACGCGCTATTTGTACCACTAGTTTGACCAAATGAGCTTTGACCAAATGCAGAATTTGAAGATGCTGGTGCTGTACTTCCAAAAATTGATGGTTTTGTATTTGTATTGGTGGGTTGTGATCCAAATGGATTTGAGTTTGATGTGGTTGAAGATCCAAATGGGTTTGATGTATTTGATCCAAATGGATTACTTGTATTACCACCAAAACCCGATGAGCCGAATGCACTTTGAGAAGTTGTATTGAGTGAGTTCCCCGTTAGATCCAAAGGTGTACTGATGAATGGTTTCACAGCGTAAGATGGATTTTCATATTTTTCTTTTGCAGTAATTTGTGTATATCTTGCAGCCTTCTTTGTATCAGCTTTAACGAAATCAACACAATTTTTCATATCTTGTGTCCTTATATTTATGAGTTTCTCATATTCTGGGATAGCATTGGCTTGTTGTGCTTGATAATAGTCTAATCTTGATTCTTCGAAAGAATAATCCCTTCCACTAATCAAATTTTCTACTGCTGGGAAAGCTAAACCAAAAGATGATATTGGTGTTGATTGGAAGAAATCAACGTCCTTCAATTCATCAGAGACTTCAGCTGTTTTTCTATCAAGTGTACTTGCATCCCAAAAATCCTTTAGCTTTCTCATTGGATCTGATTGACCGAAAGCTGGTTGTCTGGAATTGTTATTTCTGTTGTTTGGGTTCACATGAGGAAACTGACATCTATTACCATTTCTGCATGTACCTATATTCGTTTGAGTTAGTCTTCAATTATCAATAATCAAACAATTTATACTCACCCGATAAAAAGAATTTACAAGGAGGCCTCGAGCTCATTTTGTGCTTCGTGATATTTTCCTCTTCTTCTGACTTGTTGTTCTATCGTAATGTTTTGAGATCAATGTTAATAAATAAAAATCTATATTTTTCTGAATTCCGGTGCTGAAAGTCGGATTTGGATGTTGACATATAACGAATAACAAAGAATATCAACAAAGAAGTTGCACAAGTTCACCAATTGAACTCGAACATCAAAAGAGATGATATGTGTGGAGTGCAATGAGCCAACAGATTCACTCTATGTGAAGTACACCAATGATTATATCAAGTTGACGGACTGTTCGAGATGCTCAAAAGTTGCAGATAAATATATCGAATTTGACAATGTCATCTTATTCATTGATACACTATTGTTGAAACCACAAGCTTACAGGCATATTGTGTTCAACTTTATGAGCCAGGAACAGTATGATGCAAATGAAAAAGACCAATCACAATCACTGTCATCCCTCAAGTCATGGTTTGAAGAAAATAAAAAGGTGAATAGAATACGGCTTTTGATGATCTTATTTGAAATTTACTTGACATGGGCCTATGAAGAAAAGAATTACATCAATTCAAATGAATACAAGAACCCTTATTTGATCATAAACACCATTTTAACAAAACCAGCTACCGTTCAATACTTATTCTTTTCAGTGAAGTGTATTTTAGATGATTTGATAACTCATACTTTAGTACCCATTTGGATTTTCAACGTTATTCAATGGAAACCTAAAGGATACACACAAAGTGACTTAGAAAAGAAGGCATATTATGAAATGGCTTTATCATTAACAATCCTTCTTTCAGGTTCAACAAAACTTTTCCCAATCTTGATGCTGATTTGGCCGTATAATAATATCACTATAACAAATATAATAAGTTCATTGGCAGATCTAAACCTTATAGAGGCATTAAAAATCGTGACAGGATGTTCAAGTATACAAGCTATATTTTTATTCGTTACAAACACCATACTGAAATTCATTATAACGAGAGGTATTTTAATTTGTTTATTATCCAACGGTAATATGAATGTCGCTACAAAATTTGCTAATAATGAATACATGAATCTAGTCCAGAAGGTTTGGTCATGGAAGGAAATAATTGTGCAACGTTACGGTGATTTGACTTTATAACCATATAAAATATTCATTAAAACTGTGAAAAAAACACTATATATAAACTATTTTCAACGCCCCAAAAAATCATAAGTTCAAAGTTGTATTGTGTATATGTTGTCAATTTTTAAAAAGTCCGATATAATCATTCCCACTCTAGTAAATTAACACGTTTACGAATAGTCCCTTCTGTATTTGCAACAACAACACTATCACCTTCAATTGAGATCCATGGACCATCAAGTGGTTGTACCAAAAATGGGTATTCATATGTTTGATCTTGTTCTCTTGTTTCATCCAATGTCTTCGATTTGACTGGTGAAATAGGTATTTGTGGTGTATAGATCCCATCACCAACTGTAGCTTCTAAATCTGTATTATCAGGATCCTCTTCAATAGCTCTTAAAGCAATAAAGAAAGATAAAGGTAAATAATTCTTTTGGAAATTCCACATGAAACTCATAGTAAGTAAAGGTAATGGAGTTAGTGCAGTTGCTAACAGGTATCCTTCTTGAAATGCAGCTAACGTACCAGCCATTGTCAATTGGAACAATAGTAAACCAACAACAATTCTTCTGAATACCAATGGCCAAACTTTACCTGTAGAATGAGGTGGATGAACAACAGAATAAATCAATTGATATTTATAAACATAAAATCCAATGACGAAATAAATTAAACCTGATACCAAAATCTTTGTTGAAAAAACACTATAGATTATAGTTATGATTAAAATCATTATTGGTTGAGGTAAATGTAATGCAAAATTGAAAATTGGCGGTTTATATAAATCTCTATAATCCCTTGGTGTTTTACAACCAGCTTTGAAAAATGGGAAACGTAAGATACTTCCAAATAATAATAATTTGAATGGAAACATTCCTAAACCTTGTAAAATGATCAAATCAACATAGAACAATGAAAGCTCATTTAAAGATTGTGCCAACTGATATGCAATTTTTGTGGTATCACTTAAAAATCCCCAATAATTTGAAGCAGTTCCTGCGGTGGTGAAGACTAAGAACATATTGACAAATATATAGAAAAAATTCTTGGAAACAGCTGAAAGTTCTTCATCACCATGTGAAATGTAGCCTTGTTTAGAAGAAAGCCAAACATAAATAAAAGGAATGACAAAGTTCATAATGGTATAAATATAAGTTGGTAACAAACCTGAAACAACATTTTTAGCCCATTCATTATTTTGTAATAGTTCACCTAAACCTGGCCAGAATTTTTTGATAGTCTTTGGATTTAATAAAGTAGCTAAATAACCAACTGGAACAATCAATGAAATTGAAATGATACCAATGATAACTGTAATTGTGTAGTTTTTAGCAAGTCTTTCCTTTCTTGAAAGAACAATATTATCCCAAATAATATCATGTGGGGCTGGTGCAAGTCTTGTAATTAAAAAATGAACATGTGGATCTAAAACAGCCTGTGCAGCCATTTGTGCACTTGCAACAGTATCCATAGTGATAAAAGCAGTTGGTGTAGCTGGAAAATGTCTTTGACGAGCTCTAAGTATTTCCTCATCTAAAACTTCCAATTGATTTGTCAAATAATCTATAGCATCAACTTCTTTACCAATTAGCCCCAAAAATCCAGTCTTCAATTTTGGTCTTTTATGATCATATGGTTGCGCATTAAGATTAACAACACCATTTCTTGCGGAATAGTCACGAATACTATCAGTAGATCCACCATCAATTATTGAATCAACCGTATTATCCCCTATTTGATCTTCTTCATCTGAATTAGCGATTGAAGCACTATTTTCATTTTCATCATCACTTGGTGCATCATGATAAGGCCTTTGAACAGTATTCCTCTCTAGTTGAAATGATTCTCTTATTCTTGGTCTAACTGGTATATTTTGCTTTTTGTTACTAAACGAAAGTGGTCCCAAATATTCAGCCCATTTATCTTCTAATCTGTACAATATTTGTTGCCTTTGTTTAAACAATCTATTAAGTTGACCCCATTCTCTACAAATGGTGATTGACGTTACTTTACCAATATTTAAACCTTCAATATGTTTTTTCAAGCTTTCTTCATCTCTTAATTCTGGTGGGATACCTGATAACCTTATAGTTCTATCAGTGATTGAATTTTGCCCACCCAAGTAACGTTGTCTAGTTTGAACAACATGTTTTGTTTGCTTAATCAACATGTAAAAAGTCAAAAATGTGAAGATGTATGTGAAGCCAACATACATCCATAAATATGGTTTATAATCACCTGGAAGAACAGGTTCTGGTTTATCACCATTATTATCACCAAATGGACTTGTTGTACTATTTGAACGTTGATCACCATCATTAACACCATCGCCTTGATCATATCTACCAGTATAATGGTACCGTACAGGTGAAATAATGACTATAGATATGAGTGCACACAATGATAATAATTTAATGCCTAATTTGAAAAATCCTAAGAATACAAAAGCATCTAACCCAGCATGATCAAGTACTTCTTGTTCATCTAATTTGTATATAACAGGTACCCAACCAAACAGTGACTTTATGGGTATTCTTGGTAAACCTTTCCGACGTGATATTCTTGAAACATATAATTTAGACCAAGAGTTTCTCAAGATACAAAATGAAAGAAATGCAAATAAACCCAATGTGAATGCTATAAGAAGTTGAGTTTTGGCCACTCGAGCACTAGGTTTCCTTAGGTCTATCCCATCTGTATCCTTGAATGTGAATATGTCCATCTTTGAAGTATCTTCAATGGTGATCTTAAAAATATGGTTCTTTTTTGAGTTTGTAGCGGTTAAAATGACTTTTTCTGAATTTCTCATGATAGATTCAATTCTTCAGTAGTAAATTATGATCTTCACCTTTATCACAGGAAATGGTCTTTGCACGCCATAGTTTAGAAATTACCGATACGGCCAGAATCTCAGCAGCCATATAACCACAGAATTACACAGAATTGTTTGGTAACTACATTTATTTCAAAAGGTTTCACGTATATCGTCATTAATTAGTATAGTTGAGCTCAGGACCTCAGGCTCTCCAGTACTGCGCCAAACTATGTAGTCTATCAATCACCATCGGAAGAAGCGCACTGACACTATCATTGATCAAGTTTTGGAAATGAATGATGGCTTCTTCTTCACTCATATCAAGACAAAATTTCTCTTTAACTTTATAAACAGCTCTATCAGGTTCAATAGTAATATCTGGGATACTAGAATCTCTCATCATTTCAAACAAGTTTAAAATCAAATTAGAATTCTTCCTCAAGATTGAATATGACACAAAGCAATAATTTCTAAACATGTTATATTTTGGAGAACTTGCACCACCAAATGCCTCGATGATTTGTGGAGGAAGTTTCATTAATGGAGGAAATGGTTTTGGATCTTGTCCCAAGATATAACCAAAATCTGCATGGAAAAAATGACCATCTGGACAAATCAATAAATTATCTAAATGTCTATCACCAACACCTAAAATATATGTAATGACACAATAACCAGCACATGATTTAACAAAGTTATCCATTACCCAATCACTAACACCTAATTCCTCATTAGGATCTGGATGATGATGTCTCAAATAAGGCAATATACCATGATATTCAGCTAAAACACTAGCAAGTGTACTATTTGGTATAAATTGAATAGCACCTTCTGTTGGACCGGTAGCTAAGATTTTATATGGTGTCAATTTCAAATCAACATTTTCATTAGTTAAAAGTCTATTCATTAATAAAATGATTTGAATAACCAATTGATCTTGTCTTAAATCATCACCAACTTTAAACATTAATGGATATTCACCACCATCTGTTGTTTTAAATGTGATTTTTAATGGTGATAATGAACTCTTGAAAACGGAACTTTCACTTGATATAGTACCACAAATTTCCACTGAAGGGTCTAATGGGAGTTTTACCGGTGGGAAACTTTTAAATTTAGTATCAAGTATTGATCTTAAAGCTTCAATTTTTTTGGGTGTTGTATCTTTAGTATTTTTAATTTTCAAACACAATTTAACTAGTGAGTCAACAAGTGATATCTCCTTTGTTAAACCATCATTTGTATAATTCTTCAAATAGTGATCCAATATTTGTTTATATACAGAATTTGGTTTATCCTTAGATTCAACATTTAAATACCAATACAGGAAACTTCCAAGTCTATCATTACCTAATGCTCTATCAACAAGAAATTGTGATAATGGTGATAATGATGCATTCAACATTGAAGATGATGTAGATTCATTCAATTCCACAATTGAATATTCACTATTACCAATGGAACTTGAACTTGTCAATGATTCATATTTGAGTGCCTGGACTAATTGTAATAAATATAATTCTAATTCATTATCATGTGCTTTCTTCAATCTCTCCACAGCGTAAGTTCTAACAGTAATATCTTTAAAATTTGGACCGAGTAATTCTAAAGCATCTTCAATATCAATTTCAACCCATTTATAAATTAATTTTAATGCTTCTTTTCTTTCAGTTTCATCAGAGAAATTTATACTTTTCAATAATTTGTTTAACCCTTTTTTATTATTAATTAAAAAATAACGAAATTTCCAAACAAGATTTTTTTCATATTGTGATAATTCTTGAACAGATGAATAATTCAAAATCTTATTTAATTCATCTCTTATTTTGGCTGTTGGTTTCAATTCACGATCTAATGGACCATCTTTATGACTACGTTCCAATTTTCTATATTTTTGTTCTATAGGATCAGAAACATATTGTTCCGGGTCATAAATTTTGAGAGTTGATGATTTTCCAGTATTAATTTTTGGTTGATTTAATGGTGGTTGTTGTTCAGTTGGGATATAAGTTGGAATTTGTGGAGGTGGATATTTAAAATCTGAAAAAACAACGGGTATATCAAATTGTACCAAATCAATGAATAATAAGAATTGTGAATCTGTAGATTGAGCTCTATTAGTTTGTTCAATTTTACGGAAAGTTAAGTTATCAAGCCAATCAACCGATATTATATCACCATTTTCATGTTTTTTAATCAATTTTTCTAAATCATCCATTTTGGTGGGTTGGGTAGATTTAACAAGGTTTATAGTGTTGTTATCAGCTAATATCAAATCCAATTTTTGTCTCCCTCTTTTCAATGTGCAATCATCTTCAACATTGAAGATGTTTAATTCAGCTTCACCAAATATAGATCTCTTAGAATCATCAAATTCCCATAGAGTAATGTGTAATTTAGATGTGAATGGTAATTGATTAACTTTTATGGGTAGTTCAAGCCATTCATTCCACTTTCTTGAATTCCTGAATGAGGTATAAGGTGTTGTAATTGGCAATGTGAGTGGTAATCCATCTAATGTGACGACTGCAGTGGCAAATAAGTCTGAGTTTTGTTGAAAATTGGATAACTTTTTGAGTGTTGAAGGATTTGTAAATTTTGTTGATTCTTTAAGTAGTTGTTTTGAGCCTTCCAATGCTGTGATCTTAACTCTAAAGGGGAAATCTAGGTCCCGCGAGAGACAATAAGTGACGTTTCTGGAGGACATTGAGACCTTATATATGGAAACTTGGCCCTAATTAGCTGTATAGACTTGGACTAAATTCTGTTCGATACCTGCTTGTTATTTAATTGATGTTAAATTAAGCGCTCTTTAGATAACCCGCGAATTATTTTAAGTACACAACCAGAGCTCATATAACCATTTGAATACTTTGAATCTACAATAAAACATTATTAACAATCTAAAGTTTATCAGTGTGATTTTCTATTTACACGGGAAGCATATAACACAGCTTCTAAATATACACAGGGAAGTCCACCATATTCTTCATTTTTTTTTCATAGTGCAACTTGTAATTTTTTTAATATCATAACATCATTAATATAAAATTCAATTTTAACAGAAACTTATAGTAAAAATATCTAACAAATTGTTTGGTCACAAATAATTTTTCAAACAATATCAGTTAGTTAGTGAATTAGAAACGGTTACCACGGTTGTTGGAATTACCTCTGTTTCCCCATCTGTTATTATTATTGTTTCTGTTACCACCAAATTTGTTATTACCACCATATGATCTGTTATTATTATCACCATATGATCTGTTGTTACTACCTCCAAATCTGTTATTACCACCAAATCTGTTGTTACCACCACGGCTGAATCCATCATCAGCATCTTCATTTTGATCACCGCCAAATCTATCACCACTGAAAACTGGACCACGAGCTAAGTTGAAATATCTAGATGCAACTCTTTCAGGAATATGTAAAGCTGTGATCAATAAAGTTCTACTCATTCTTGGTAATGTACCTGGTGTACCATCTAATAAACCATAAGAATCTGAAATGTTTTTCAAAACATCTTCTGAACGTAAACGGTAGTTTTTAACCATACCATTATAGAAACCAATCATTGATTCCATGGTTTCATTTAATGAATATTTATGTCTAACATTTTTAGAACCGGATGTAATAAGTTCTTCAGCTTCCGGAGATGGTTCATAAGAATATTTATTAGCAATTTGAATTTTTCTATCTTTTAATTGTCTAACAAATGGAGCTTCAGCTTGTGATAAAACAATCAAAGCTTGACCTTTCTTACCACCTCTAGCAGTTCTACCAATTCTATGAACATAATTGGTGGTATCAGTTGGAACACCAATTTGAACAACATTAGTAACACCTGGGAAATCCATACCTCTAGCACCAACATCTGAAGTAACTAAAACACCTCTTGAACGTTGTCTGAAATTTTGAACTGATCTATCTCTTTGAGCTTGAGATAATTTACCATGTAATTCAAAGACTGGTAAACGGATATTTTGTTCTTTAACATAATTGAATAATAAATCTTTGAAATAAGAAACTGATTTAACAGTTGGTAAGAAAACAACACTTTTGAAATCTTCAACTTCTTCAGCTTGTTTACCAATGAAAACTGATGAAGCGACAAAACTTTCAAAGAAATTTTCAGTAGTAATTAAAGATTGATCAATATTTTCATGAGTTTCAGGTTCATTTGGATCAACAGTATCAATATAAGTTAAATTTTTACCCATTAAATTTTCAGCAAAACCTAAAACATTTCTATCAATAGTAGCAGAGAATAATAAAGTTTTTTCAGTTGGAGAACCAGATTTTTGTTTTAATTCAGCAATACTATCTTGAATTTCTAATAAATTATCTTTAAACCCATCATCAAGTAATCTATCAGCTTCATCTAAAACTTTAAATTCCAAATTTTTCATAGCATCTTGAATGATTGGATCATCTAACAAATCGTATAATCTACCTGGAGTAGCAACAACAACTTGAGGAGTGGATTGGAATCTAGTGAAAGCTTTAATTTGTTGATATTTTGGTTCAGCACCAACAAGACAATGAATATTAACGCGAGGAACACTTCTATCAAATTGTTTTGTAACTTTAATTAATTCATCTCTAATTTGATAAGCTAAATCTCTAGTTGGAGAGATAACAAGACCAATAACATCTGGATTTTTAGCAGGATTTTCTCTTTTTAAAGCTTTTTCAATTAATGGAATACCAAAAGCTAAAGTTTTACCAGTACCAGTTTTAGCTCTTGCAACAATACCTTTTTCAATTTTAGAAATTGGTTCAATTGTTTGAGTTTGAACAGGAGTGAAATTTGTGAAGTTCATATTTGTTAATGAATTATAAACAGGTTCACTAATAATACCTTTTTCGTAAAAACCTTTAATTTCACTATCATCATTATTTTCATTAGCTTGGAAACGTGTAGAGGAGAATGATCTAATTGATGATCTTGAAGCTAAAGAAAAGCACCTCTTAGCAAGGGTGACTTGCAAAGTTAAGGTGTTCATTGCTTGATAATGTTTTTCCTTGTTTAATGCAAAAAAGAATACAAAGATCAATAAAATACAATGATGAAGTTATATAAAGTATAATGTACTACACCACATTTAAAATTTTCACGATAAAAAGAAATCTGCTTATTTTTTCAAAATTAAAATTAAAAAAAAAAAAAAAAGATAAAACAAATTCGCGAAGATGAGATGAGAATGGTAAAGGACACATGGATTTGAAAGCGTTACCCTCTTTTTGTTCTTTGACTTGTTTCCATAGCAATTTACTATTTAAAAGAGAAATTTTGTTTCAAATGGAAACAAGAAGAAGTTTAATTGGTGGGATTTTCAGCGCTAAACCAGTTTTAAAAAATTGCACTATAAAAAGGGTGCATTTCCCCTAAATATCTCCCTTCCTTTTACCTCCCTTGCTTTCTCCTAGACTTCTATACTTTTATACAGGTTATTAAGCAAAATAGTTACCGTTACAGAGTTTAATACTAGATTACCTTAGCGCTTAAGACTTATTGTACCAATATATCTTAACGCTTTGCTGAAATCATCCTTATTGATACCCACTTATCTGTTGTTGGTTATAAACTGACTTTACAAAAAGCTATCTATTGAGTTTACCATTTCGGTGGAGAACGATTTAGTGTAAAGCGCTTTGACAGATTTTTTTTCTTTGATTAAAGTGTATAATCCTGTAGTTTATCAGATTCGCTTATTTTATATAGGAATTTTAAATTTTGGGATTTATTTGATCAAATCAAAGTTGTTTGGTTGAACAAGAAATTATTGATTGAAAAGAAGAACTTTAAAAGTTCCAGTTCCACTGTTCAGGGTTGAAGAATCGCGCTGCAAAAATCCAAATTAGAATTTAGGGAAAAAAGACACAAAATGCAACAATCACCATCGCTTCTCTTCGATTCTTTGCCTGTGGGATTTACAAATCATTACAACCAAAACAACAATATAAACATACATCACCAACTGAATCTGGTTCCAAATGATGAGAATGGTCAAATGAATAGGTCTCCAACTCCAAGAGATGATCAATTGAATCAACTGTTTCCAAATGCCGCTGCTACATCCCCTGATCAAGGAAAATTCAACATCAACAACAACAACAACAACAATAACAACACCATGGTTACATCTCCAATACAAGCTCAAGCAATGGATAATGGAAATTCCCATTTTACTTTAGATTCAGCAACAAAATCAGATTTACTCAATTCAGATCAACTGTTGGATTTATATCATATTACAAAGATCAATTATTTAGACGCCCAGGATAGATTGGTTAAAGAAGGATTTCAATCAAGAGAAATTTATCAGGAATTAGATTATGTTCAAAAACAATTAAGTTATAAATGTGAACAATACTTTAATCAACTATTAGATGCTGCTAGAGTTGATCCAGATATCTTTAAGAAATTAAGGGATCTTGCAGACACCAAGAAGAATCCACCAACTGTTAAGAAAACAATTACTGTTATTGAACAAAGAAAAAGTGCAGATTCAGATTCAGGATCAGATCAAGAATCAGAATCAGAATCAGATATAGAATTGATTGGTTATGGAAGTTCAGCTGATGATGTTTTCAAAGTATCAGATTTTGAAGAACCAAAAGTTATTGCTAATGCAGATTCAGATAAGGCTAAAGATGTTGAAGAAACCAAGACCAACAAAGAAAATACAAGAAATTTAACCGCTGAATCAGATGATGAACCTAGACTGAATATAACAAAACAATTTGAAGAACTAGAAGTCAATTTTAAAGATATTATCTCTAAGGTGAACAATAATAATATGGATAGAAATGAAGCTTGTAATTTATTCAAACAAAGTTTACCAATTCTGAAATTTTTCAAAGATCCAAATAGATTATTTGGTTTGATTAAATCGTCAATATTAGAAATTTCAAAAGATACATATGGTACGGATTATGATATAAGATATGATCTTACAGATAATTTAGTTAAAAGTTTATCCAAAGATGTTGAATTATTCAATTTGTTATCAAAAGATACAAAACTTCTTAAAAGAGTTGCAAATTGGTTAAGATATGATCTGAGTAAAGATAATACAAAAAACATTGAAAGCTGCTACTTATTCATTGAAAATTTACGTCTTACTTTAACAAAACTTGAGGAAATAAAATTAGATAGTGTCATGTCATATACCGTCAAGAATAAACCGGGATTTAAAGTGATTTGTGATAGAATATTTGATCAAGGCGCTAAATTAGAAGGAAGAGTATTAAAATCAAAAGAGTCTTCACCTGTTACTGCCGCTAATACAACAAACAATACAAAAATTCCATCAACTCCTGCTCCTTCAACACAACAACAACAATCACAACCACCACAACAACAATCAAGATCAGTACCACCACCTCCACCTACATCATCTTCATTTTCCAGATCAGGTAAACCTGAAGTCAAAGCAAAGAAACCTACTGTCACAAATAGTGCGTTTAGTAGACGCCCAAATTCTGCAAATAATGATACAGCAAATGTTAACCAAGCTCCAAAACCTACCATAGTTAATAATGGTGTCTTACCTACTGCAAGACCTACACCTTTTAAATCCACTGCTGCTACCACTTCCACTAATACCAGCACGGCATCATCTTCAACCTCTGCTGCGGAAAAACAATCAGAAGCACCATCAAAGAAATGGTCACTTCACAAATATATCAATAATGGTAAAAGAAAAGTTTCTGGATCAGAAGCATCAGGTAAACCTAATACTGCTACTACTCCAGGATCAACATCAAAACCTGGTAAAAAATCCACAGGTATTTTATTGACTTTATCAGATGAAGAAAGAAGAAATAGAAGAAAGAAAACTGTTAGATTCTCCGGTAATTTGACACAAGTTAAAGAATTTGAATCTGATGTTATACATCAATTTTCTGGTGTAAACAGAGCTAAAGCCATGGAAAATTCTGAAGCACAGGCCTTAAAAGCACAAAAAGAAGCCGATGAAGAAAATTCAAATCAAAAAGGTCCAAATAGTAGATCAAATGAAAAGCTCAGTATAAGTCATGGTGATGTTGAAGAGTTTGTTATAAGTCCTTGGAATACCCTTAGATCGATGGAACTTGTTGAAGATTGTGATGAATCAGCAGTTACAAGAGGTGGGTTACGTGAAGTTGAAGCATATATTGATCCAAAAGTGCCAGATCTGTCTGGAAAACCTGCTTCTCAAACTTATTCACCATACGAGCCAAAGGGTCTGATTGTTGAAGAAATAGATGATGATTATGAGATTCCAGATGTTTCAATCGATGAACCAACAAATATCGTCGATAATGCTGCTAATTCAAAACTGGATCCTACAGATATCAATGATAATATTGAAAATACTCATGGTTTTGACGATTCACCAAATGAAGATAAAAATGTTAATCATGACCCTGAAGTTTTGAATTTACTTGATGATGATGATATGCTGGATTATTATGAGAATAATGCCGAAGATGATAAAGATGCTTCTACAGGATCTGATACTAGAGATAAGAGAGACGAGAAAGTGATGAACAATGCTCAAATTGAAAACCCAAATGATTCCACTAATGAACTAAATGCAAATGTTGATAATAAAGATAATCAAGCTGCTACTGGAACTGCACAAGCACCAACACAATCTCTTTCAACAGATCATAAACATCAAAAACTTTTTGAATCGCTAAAAAAATTACAATCATTAACTTCTCCACCTCCACAAGAAATTTCTAATTCAACAGCACCACAAAATACTCAAACTACTCAAAATGATACCGATCAACAAAGTGAATCTCCTGAATTACGTCAATCTATAACAATTGCAGATCTTATGTCAAGATCCAAACCTATTTCAAAACCTCGTACATTGATTTCAGATGATTCTGTAAATGGTACTGAAAACTTCAATAGTGGTTCCAATACTAATGATGGTCTTTTACCTTCAGCTACTTTTGCAAATGGTAATTCTACAACTAACAAAAATGATGTTCCAACTGGGCCTAGTTCAAAACGCTCAGATGGTCCAACTAGAGTATTTAAAATTAAAGGTGCTGCTTTCAGAGAAGACTCACAATCACCACCTGCAGGTCCTACTTCTTCAAGATCTGATGTTTGGGTGAATACCAATAAACGTCCTTTGGAGAAGGATTCTCATTTAGATCATACTAGAAAATTATCATCATCACAAAAAGATCATAAAGATCGCTATGAACCTTCAACTTCAGTTCATTATTCCAATGAAAATTTACCGATAAATGGATTCACACATGCTGCTCAAAATGGAACATCAAGAGATAGAAGAACCAGTGCAGATGAATTGTTTCCAAGAAAGTCCACACCTCCACCATTTGAAAATAGATCAACCAACGATAAAGAAGAATTATTTCCATCAACTCGTGGTAAAATTTTACCAACATCACCAAAAGCAAGAGAATATCCTTCAAGAGGTGCAGGTAGATCATCAATCCATAGATCCTCAACTTCAGGTACATCAACAAGTCCAATAAATCACAGAGAATCAGGTGAACATCATCCAAGCACAAATGAAAGATCCAGAGATGTTCAAGCAAGAGAATATCCTTCAAGAGGTGGCAGACCATCAATCCATAGATCTTCAACTTCAGGTACTTCAACAGGTCCAATCAATCACAGAGAATTGGGCGAGTCTCACCCAAGTGCAAAGGAGACAATTTTTGACAAGAGATTGAGAGATGTCCGTTATCATGTTAAAACATATACAAAAATGAACAAATATACTCAAGTTTGTAAATTTTTTCCAAAGTGTGATTTTGGAGAAGGCTGTCATTATCTACATTTGAATGAATATTCACCAAAGCATCTTAGATATGAAACATATCGCCCTTAATTTTAAATATGCCAGGTATCTACATTATTGGTTTTTACGCTTAGGTTTATTTTATTTTGATTTTTTTTGCTTTTACAAACAGTTGCTAGAGTTTGATTGATTTTACATGGGGTTTGCTTCGTTAAGGTTTTAGTTTATTATAAATAATATTCATGGCTAATATAAAGTTATATTTATTCGTTAAGTTAAAATTTATCTTCATTGATAAATATTGTAGTGCAAAGTTTTATTCTTCTTTAGAATGTTTGGTGTAATCATAGTATCTTCTAATGACGAAATTTCCAAATGCTGACAAAATAGCAAATGGTGGAATGAGTTCCAGCAAATAAACAATTAATGATGGTTTAACCCTTTGGACAGTTCCTTCAACTTGTGAATTCAAATCTGATAATGAAGAACTATTATCAATGACATAATCCGCCTTCCGTATACGTAAATGATTTGACATTTGAGAATTGATTCTTTTATGAGCATCATCTAAAGTTAAATGTGAATTTCTTGCTAAAAGTCTTTCAATTTGTACATCTTCTTTACAAACAACAGCAATTGTAGACCCACAAATTTTGTCTAGACCAGCTTCAAACAGTAATGGAACATCTAAGATCACCAATCTATTTAATGTGACATAAGCCCACAGGATTTGTTTAAATATTTCATATCTAACAGCAGGATGAACGATACCATTTAAAACTTTTAATTCATCTTTATTTGCAAAGACATATTTACCTAATGTAGGTCCATCAATTTTGCCATCTGGAAGTAATAAAGTTTCAACTTTAGGACCAAAATACTCCACAACTTTCTTATATGCTGAATTTCCTGGTTCTTGAACCTGTTTGGCAATAACATCTGCATCCACAATGGTTAAATGGTAGTCATTCTTCAACTTGTTGGAAACAGTAGACTTCCCAGCAGCAATACCACCTGTGAGACCAACAATAAGCATTGCACTTCTGCGTGACTGGTGATGTTTAGCTGTCCCGTGACGGTAGAAGTTGAGTGCACAAAGCTGATTTGAATTTGATGAGCTTATCACAAAAAGTGGGTACCCGCGAATTTTGGAGAAGTTAATTTTTTTGGTCTTTCGCGCGCATAGAAAAAATTGGCATACCAAAATTATTCAGTGCTTAACAGAGACGAAGAAGATCAAGAAGATCAAGAAGAAAACCTCGTTTGATCTGTGATACAGAAGAACATTCCATTATGAAGATACCCAGAGTATACTCACTGGGACTAACTGACGTTAATAAGTTTCTGGTGTACAACTTGGCAAAGTATCCAGAACAACCAAAGATCCCAGACATTGTGCTACTACTGAAATCTGATGAACAACTATCAAGATTTGTTTCAAATGACTCAAAAGTTTCCGTAACAGATTATACCAACCTTAGAGCATCTACAAAATTCACACAACTCATGGCTGCATACCAACCTCCAAGATTTGCAAACGGAGACCACGCTCCTATAGAAAACCTCACAATATCATCAAGTTCATTTCAACTCAAGACAGAATTGAAAAAATTCCAAAAATCAATAAATCAAAATTCAAATATCTTACTATTGAATCCTAGCATGTCAGCTACACAAACAATCAACCAGTTATACGGGAATAGCCCCAAGAAGCCTAATATTTACCAATGTTTAAGTACACATAGTTTGTGGGGAGCTGGTGAATTTGGTGTTAATAATATAGGAAGAGGTAATTTAACTATAACTAAGGTACCCAAAAACTCCAATGCACCAATATCAGAACAAAATAATCTAATAGATATGAAGAATGAACCACCATTTATACAACTACTATCGAAACTAAGAGAAGTTGATCCTGTGTTCGTTAGTTATTTTAATTTCCAATTATTACAAATGGAATCATTAGTCATAAAAGCATGCATAGAGCCCTTAACTGATGTTTTTGATTGTTACAATGGTGACTTATTAAAAATGGATAAGATATCAGAAATATCAGGTGATTTGATTGATGAATCATGTCAAATATTGAAAATAGCTCATCCAGAGTTAGTTGATTCACCATTAGGATCAATTGCATTAAATTCTGAAAGATTATTAGATGTTGTTTTCAACAATTTAAATTTAAATAAAGAAGGTGGCAGAGAAATTGCCAAACTTCAAAAAAGATCTAAAAAGCAAGAAATATTTGAAACCAATGGATATTTATCTTCTCTTGCAAAGAAACATAAAATCAAAGCACCATTAAATACTACATATTCGGATATATTGAGGGCTAAATATTCTTTAGCAAACAATCGGGGTCTTAATGGAAGACTCTAAAAAAAAATTACAACTAATACATAGAATGCATATAATTTCATGAGATTTATAGTTTTGTAGTATGCATAATTCGTTCTGATCGAATCATAGGTAACTATCAATAAGTTCAACCCTTTCCTTTGACAATGCTTCAATAACTTTCAAGTTTGGATCATCCTGAGAATTGAGGTCCAAATTTCTTTCTAGATCTTCCTTAACTTTTTCTAATATATTGATGAGAATTTGTTTAGATCTTCTTTTATAAAAAGAACCATCTGATATACCATTTAATAATGCGCTTAATCTTCTATTGATGGTCAAGTCATCACGTTCCTGTAAGACAGCTAAAGCGACATCTGTTCTAAAACTAACATTTTGTTTATTTATTGTATAATCACCGTAATAACCAACTTTCTTCAAATATTCAATTTGATCATCATTCATTAAGTCTATTACTTCTTCAGTTATATCAAGATCATTCCATTCATTATTTGATAGATGGAAACCATATTCACAGAGCAAAAATTCATTTGAATGAGGCCCATAAGATAAATATAATTCATCATTTTCTTTATAATTTGAGGTAGTAATGACATGGAACCCAGTTCTATCAATTTTCAACTTACACTGATCATTTGTGGAATGATTGATGAAATCAACATATGGTGCCATTGTGAAATTATCAGACGTTGTCTTCTTTTGTGGAATTTCCATATAAAGGCAACGAGAATTAATACACATCCAATACAAAACAAATTTATCATGATTTATGATATCCTTTGAAGCATTATGAGTCTCAAGTAAGGTTTTAACTGCTTTAAAATCTGATTCAAACCTATTGAACATCTTTAATGAATGTTTCTGTGTTGATTTGGGTAGTTTTTCGATCAATTCATATTTACCCTGGATTTGCCATAGAAATGGAGAGGTTAAGAAATCATTAATTGTTGGTAACATTTGAATGAAAGGATCCCACCATGATTCTTTACCCCTTGAAGATTCAAGCTCCAGAAATAATGACATGATTTGGAACGAAGATAATGCACCAAGTTCTTCTAATGTGAACTCTTTATATAATGAAGTGATATGATCCTCATTTTCAGCAGGAGGGACCTTGATATTCTTATAAACATCTGGAAGGGACTTATTTCTTGACCCCCATGAGAATATATGTGCCACTATAGTCGTGTAGTTCAACAGATAAGAATGATCAATGGTGATTATTGGAAGATTTGGTTTTATATCTGAAGTTGCATAGATACCTCTACCACTTCCCTGAGTTTCTTTCACTTGAATCTTTTCAGAAATTGAAGTCTTTGTAGTGCTTGGAAGAAGCCATTGCAGCAAATTATCTAGTTTCTCTTCATTTGGACGGGTCATTTTGAAGTTGATGTGAGTTGGAATCTGGATAAAATCTAGATATATTGATGGGTATAAAAGTTTATATGCAGAAACACTTTATTTTTCTTAACCGTTACAAATCACCGAAATTAAACTTTTCATCTTTTCAACCATCAACACTAAACATATCAGATATAGGGAAGCACCGGAACAACATGCTCAGACTGAAACTTCAACAAAATATCGTGACAGCGTCATTGAAGAGAGCATACACAACTTCAACAACTACGCAAGGTAGCTCAGAAGCTCCAAAGGAAACTGAATCATGTACCAAGTTTTCACCAATCAAAGAATCCGCAAAGACTCTTCGTCATCTAAGATTCACAGTTCCATTTGAATACAACAAAGCTCATGAAATTCAAACACAGTTTGTGTCAGCGTTCTTGGATTTCAAGAAAATGGTATCTACTATTGAAAGAAGTAATAAAGAACTGATAAGTAAAGGACTTGAGAGTAATGATTATGAAAAAAAAATCATTCAACAAATATTAGATAATAAACCATCACCAACTGTTCTTTCATTTGAATTTAAACCTGTGTTCACCGCTGGTCAACGTGAAAAGAAGAGATTAAGTCAAGAAAGTATTGATAACTTGAAACAAAACACTGGTTATGATTTTGTTCAAACTGATAGAGGTGGAGAAATTACATTCCATAATCCAGGTCAAGTTGTTATATATCCAATTGTTGATTTAAGAGATTTTAAAAAATTAACTATAAAATGTTTTGTTTCACTTATAGAAGATGCAGTTATTGAAATGCTAAGGAAGAACGGAATCAAGAGTGAAAAAACGGCAAATACAGGTGTTTGGATCGATGAAGATACTAAAATTTCTAGTATTGGATTACAAGTTAGAAGATCTATAACATTCCATGGAGTTTCATTAAACGTTTCAAACGAAATACCCAAAATTGAGGAGTCTGGATTGGTTTTCTGTGGATTGCCAGGTAAATCACAGACATCAATGAAACAATTAGGCGTTGATATCTCTATGGCTGATGCTTCAAGACAATTAGTTAGACAAATTGCAAGTAAATTAGGTGTTGAACAAGTTGAAACTATAGAATTAGATAATTTAGAATTACATACAGATTCACCAGAACAACAATAAACATGTATATAACTTTGATAAATTGTATAAATATATGCTTAAGTATTGATTATTATATAAATATGCATTAAAATTGGTTTATATGTGATTTCGCTCAAAACACATTTAGTATTAGTAGACCCATAATAACAATGGCCAAAGATATGAAAATCATATTGATTAAATCTGATTTAGTCTGCACTAAATCTCTAGATTCTAACAGCTTCTCATACTTCTTTTCTAAAATGGAATAATTGTCATTATTTGTGGAAATTTTCTCTTCAAGAGTTTTCAAATTTGATTCATAATTTGATTGTAAAGTTTGTTTATTTGATTTTAATTCATCAATTTCTTTCTGCTTATCATTTAACAAACGTTCATGTTCATCAATTTTGGTTTCTAAATCTCTAGCGATAGATTTTTTATGATTTATATTTTCATTCTCTAATTCTTTTATTCTATTTGATTTATCATAAATTATTTGTTTATCCTCTCTTAATCTATTACTTAAATCTTCATATTGTTCTTCAAGTTCTTTCATTTGAAAAGCTGTTCTTTCAGCAAATCTTTTATTTTCATCTAAATCTCTTTTCATTTGTCTTATCTTAGCAGTTTGTTCACCTCGACTTAATTCAATTTTATAATTTTCCAAGAAACGTTCAATTGATTGAAGTTTTAAATTTGACATTTTTTCTTGATGAATCAAATCCATAAGAATCTTAACAGAAATTGTTAAGTTTGAACTTGTTCCAATATTATTGTTGACGAAAATACCTGAAAGAAAATCATGATTCATCCCCATAGCTAAATCATCTAAATCTGTTGTAACATCACCGAAAAAGGCGGCATCAAATGGTGAAACTTCCTTGCTTTCCTCAGCCTGTATTTGATCACTGTGATTCAAGTCATACAGTATTGATTCTATGTTATTATTATTGGTTAAAGGTATAGTGAATATTTTTTCAACTTTACAACTAATTTTTCTATGGTGTTGTTGTTTCATTTGATTTGCATCAATATCAATACCTAAATCAATCACATCATTTTCCTTTATAGCAGTTTCTTTGGCAATTTTAACATTATTAACGAAAGTACCATTTGAAGAATTTGAATCTTTAATAAATATTTGATCATCTTTAATGAATAATGCAGCTTGATTTCTTGAAATAACTTTGGAGTCAAAGTATCCATTATCTATACTAGGTGCCTTTTGTGAACTATTTGGACGTCCAAGTTGTAATATATCAGGGAATGTTGGGATGTTCAATGTCTTTCTATCAAATGTTCCATTCAATGATGATAATCGAAGAATAGAAGTGTATTGTTCTCTTGAATAAGATCTTTTCAGTAACGGTATGGATGAAGATGATGGCACAGGTGATGAGGATGAAGATGACGATAATGAATTTGCAGATGGTGCACGATCTATAGAATTTCTAGCTGCTGATGATGAATTTGCTGTTGTTGTTGATGATGGAGGTGGCACCACTCCACCATTTGTAGATGATTTTGATGATTTTGATGAACTGGCAGGTGGAGGAGGTGGTGGTAATGTCTGACGATATACTTTTGAGTTGGAGCGGGCTCTATTGGGCTTGCTTTCAAATCCAATTTCCAGATCTAGAGTATCCGATGGTGGTGCCAGATGATTATCATGTCGTTGATTATGATGTCCATTTCCATTTTGTTCATGCGGCAGGTTGTTGTTATGTGTGCGGTTTGCAACTTCCATGCTTTTTATAAGTACTTGATCTATCTCAGATTATAATATTATTCTAGCTCTAAATTTCTTTCAGATTCTCAAGATTTTCGGATGTTTTCGAATATTTCTTTATTTATGATGTGTTTATATTTCAATTTGATTGTTTGAACATTTGCCTGATGCGAAAGTAAATAAAAAATGTTGACTTCTTAAAATGCAGCTCTATGATTGTGGTAAGCTATGACTAATAATGCTTTGGTCTCTTGAATAATGCACAATATTGTCCAAAAGTTTGTTTCGATGAAATCGATTGCAAATTGAATGATAAACCAATAAATTTCCCTTTCAAAACACCTTTGATTGACATAGCGCTTTGTGAATATTCAAATTGATTTCTGGCGCGGAAATGGTTGGTGCAGCACAGGAATTGATATTGGCTGTGGCGCAGTGGTTGGAGTGTACGTCCATTCGAACCTTGTGGGTAAAACTATATTCATTCTACAATAAATATAAATACTATATAAACGAATAAAATAATACAAATTAAAAATTATCATTAAACACTTAAAGCTAAAAGCTCATCATCTTCTACTCAAACGAATCATTCTTCTAGATCCTTCACCATTCACAATTACTTTATCTTGTTGAACCAATCTATTCAAGACATCTCCTAATTCATTATTTTCAACAACTTCTTGTGATTGCTCATTCAAAGCTTTTTGTAAATCAATAAACGTTATAACGTCACCTGGATATTGTTCTAAAATGTCATACACTGTTTTGGAAAGATCTTCTTTCATTCTTCTTTGTGCAGAAGATTGACCTGTTTGAACTAAATCCATGTCAATTTTACCCGTTATTGGATCTGTTGCATAATCTTTAATAGCTGATTTAATTAATCTAACAGCTTCTTTAACATCTTTCAATTCGACAACATTTGATAATCTCATCTTAGCATGTGCTTCTGATAATCTAATCATACTTTCTAATTGTCTGGTTGTTGCAGTGATACGACGTTCAGATGATCTTGAATCATCACCCAATTTTCTCATATCAACATAAGATTTAACTAATTCATCTTTAGCTTCAGGTTGCAAAACTGGTGCATAATTTTCTTTAGCATAACTGATATATAATGTAAGAAATTCAACTGGCAAAATTTCTGTAGTGGAAACATTTTCTGGTGTATCTTCTAAATACATACTTGTCAAATGTTTAGCAAGATATCTATCAGTTCTTTCATCAACTTTATCCAATAATAAATAAACAAGATCAAATCTTGATAATAATGGTGGTGGTAAATCAATATTTGATGTAACTGGTAAATTTGGATCATATCTTGAATTTATAGGATTTGCAGAAGCTAAAATGGAAGTTCTTGCATTCAATGTTGTAATAATACCAGCTTTGGCAATAGAAATGGTTTGTTGTTCCATAGCTTCATGTAAGACTGATCTGGTAACATCAGACATCTTATCAAATTCATCAATACAACAAACACCACCATCTGAAAGAACTAAAGCACCACTTTCTAAGACTAATTGTCTGGTATCAATATCTCTTGTAACATAAGCAGTTAAACCAACTGCAGAAGAACCTTTACCTGATGTATAAACACCTCTTGGTGCAATCTTGTGGACATATTGTAATAATTGAGATTTTGAAGTTGAAGGATCACCACATAATAAAATGTTAATATCACCTCTATATTTACCACCTTTAGTGAATGTTTTATTTGTACCACCAAATAATTGCAATAATATACCCTTTTTAACATCATCTAATTCATAAATACTTGGTGCCATTGATCTAGCCAATAATTCATAAAGATCTGGTCTAGCACCTGTTTCTTTGATTTTTTGAACTTCTTCTTCAGTAATCTTACGAACTTCATCAACATCATGGTTCACTTGTTTGGTACTATCTGTATTTGTTGAAGTATCAATATTCATTCTCTTTTTGTCAATTTTACGAATATGAACTAAATCCAAATAGATTTTGAATAAACTTTTCATAGCTCTTTGTCTTGAATTAACTCTTACCGGAACTGATCTGAAAATACCTGTAGCTTCAATACGATCACCAGCTTTAACACTATCAACTAATTCATCATAAACACATAATGAAACAGAATGAGGAGTTTGACCATCTGGAACATGATCTGGAGTTTCTTGTAATTTAACAACTTGTTTATCAGCGAAAGAAGACCTCACATGTACAAGAATCATTGAGTTTGGTTGTGCACAAGCCGGTCTTGGACATACTGTTGGTTCTTGAATGACACCTCTATCAATTTCAACCACTGTAGTATGATCACAAATGTTACACTTGAAAAAAGCCATCTTCATATCTGGAATAACAGGTGTTGATCTTAAGACCATACCCTTTACACTAACTAATTTGTCAATATCTTCTGGGTTCAATTCTCTCATACCTCTTTGAGATTCAATATTAAAAGGTCTAATTTTGTAAATTCTTCCTTCAATATCACTAATATCATGATCAAGATCATTTTCCACAATTAAAGATACCATACAATCTTTAACAGTTTGATCCATAATTGGGATAACTTCTTGTGGATAGTTTTGTAATTGATAAAATAATTTCTTAGTTTGTGCAAATGTAAGTAAATTTTTAGCATCTAAATTTAAATTTGTTGATAATGAATTTCTCATTGAATTTAATTCGTTAACATAATATAATTCGTTATCAGCAATATCATCAACTGGTTCACTATCATGAAGTTTTCTATATTTCATTTTGAATGACATTAAGAAATTTCTAAAAGCATTTGAACATTCATGAATACTAACATTTGTACCCCAAATAATTCTAACAGGTTCATCAATATCTTCATTACCTAAATTTGATGAAATATTACCAGGTTGTGATGAAGGTATCTGGTTATTATTGAAAACTCTTCTTCTCATTGGGGATGAAATATCTGAAGAATGAATATCACCTCTTCTATGTCTAGTTTGTTCAGCACGTCTTCTTGAACTAATATCAGCATAAATATCAGATCCCAAATCTGAACGACCTGGACCACGTCTACTTGATCTACTGATATCTGATCTTGGGTAATCTGACCCTGGAGCTGAAGATGGGAAATTTAATGGAGAACTTGGTTCACCAATACCACCATGTTCTGAACCTGGACGAGAACTGGCTTGTGAACCTGGTTGTGAAGAACGAAAGAAAATTGGTGATGATACATTGGATGCACCTCTTTGAGAATTTCTTTGTTGTTGTTGTTGTTGTTGTCTTTGAGTTTCATCAACATCTGAAGATTCTGGCATGAATAATGGTGAAGATGGAACAGCATTTGTTTGACCAAAAGAATCAGCTTGAGTCAAACTTTCATCTTGGTTTGTATCATCTCTATTCTGACTTGTGGAATTTTGGTTATGGGATGGAGAACTCATAATGGATGGTGAAGAATGTCAAATGTGGTTGAATAGGTGATAGATATTGTGTATAGTTGAACGTACTTTTACAAGTAAATTGAAAACATAAATACAAATCTCGAATTTTTCAAAAGTGTAAAATTTCGAGACGCGTTTAATTAATATTCCGAATCGGGAAACTTGCATTTTGTTGACTTCCCGATTCGGAATGAAATTGACATTTCTTACAATATTATGGGATTAATCTAATGAACAGCGTAAATTTCGTATTAATTTGACAATTATAAATATAAGATGAAAACAAATCAAGATATATAATTACAAGTCTCTCTTTACCAAACTCCCATGGCTTTTTTCAATTGTTCAGTATCAATTTCCCATTTCTTTTCTGTAGCTTTTGGACCAACTTTTTTAGCATAAGCTTTTAATGTATTTTCAATGGTTAGTTTGGTATAATTTGGTAATTTTTTCTTTAATAATTCGACCATAGTTGGTACGGTGAAATCAGTATTATGAACTTCTTTAGCAAAAATTTCTAAATCATTTCTTTCTAAAATTAATGTTTTGGTCTTTTTGGGTTTTGGTTCTTCACTTATCGATACACCATCTGAATTTATTGTTATAGTTTCCCAATAATTATGAAATGGATCTATACTTGTAACATTCTCTTTTAAGATTTCTAGCTTCAAATCAATTTCAGATGTTTCATGCCAATGAACAATGGGTACTAATGGACCAAGTGCTCTTTTCTTTGTATTTGTTATTTTATCATCTTCTAAGAAATCTGATAAATCTTCTTCACTTCCTTCATCGTCTTCATCATCTTCATCGTCATCTTCTTCATCTATATCTTCCCCTTCCCCTTCTTCATCCTCCTCTTGTTCATCATCCCAATCTATAAACGGAGTTTCAATGGACAAAAATGGATTTCTCCCAATCCCTAGTTTTGGATCTTTTGTGTATGTTCCAATATATGTTCTAATATTTTCATAAAATCTAATATATTTAAATTCCAAAGGTGCAGCATCTAATTGATTTTCAAAAATATATTTAGCAGTAGTACTTTCTTGGATATCATTAAGATTATCTTGATTATGCTTAGATTGAAACCAATTTTTCAAATCATTTGGTTTAGAAGATTGTAAATTTTCATCAAATGATTTAGTATCAATTTTGTTTGGAAGTGGTAAAAGCTTAACATTTGCCCTTAGGTAAAACTCATGGAATGATCTTGAATAATCAAGATTAGAAGATTCTTCTTTAGTTGTAGATTCATCAGTAATTGTTGAACTCTTGACGACAGATTTTGGTTTGAAAAAATTTGAAATTTGTAATTTTTGCTTTTGTTTTAATTTCTCTTCTTCAGCTTTCTTCTTTTCGTCTTCAATTTTTTGTTTTTCTTCTTCTTTTTTCAAACGTTCCTCTTCTTTCCTCTTTTTCTCTTCAAGTCTTTGTTTCTCCTTTTCTTCCTTTTCTTTCAATCTTTGTTTCTCTTTTTCTTCTTTTTCTCTTTGCAATTGATCTCTTTTTTCCTTCTTGATTCTTTCCTTTTCTTCATTTGCCTTCTTTCTCTCAAGTTCTTTTTCAAGACGTTTTTGCTCCTTTAATTGTTTTTCAGCTTCTTTTGCTTTTTCCCTTTCTTGTTTCTCTAATTCTTTTTGCTTAAGTTTAGCAATTCTTTCCTCTTCTTTTTGTTTCTGCTTAGGAGTCTTTGAAGGCGTACTATTATTTGAATTTTGTTGCTCTTGGTTCAACACATCTTTTGCTGGTGTATTGAAGTTTGGTTTTTGAGGTGTTGTTTGCTGAATTGTATCTATAGTTGATTGTATCTTAGGTTTTACTGGGGAATCTTCCAGTTCGATATATTGTGGTTCTGAAGCCTTGTTTTCAGGTAATGTATCGCTCATTGTATCCAAAGTAGCAGCCATTACCTTCCCTTATTTCGATAAACTGTGTTTTTGTCAATGAGTACCACTTTTAATTGAAATCTTTCAACTTTTCAAAATCAAAACTCGCTTCTGTATATTTTCATCTTCAATAAAAACGCGTCACCAAACACGAAAATGTCTTCGCGAATTTATATTCATATGAGTGGTTATTGACACGGTGACTTACATAGTAATAATTGACAGATTTTGATTCAAAGCTATACAAAAAAAAAATCAAAACAAAAAATTAGTACGTACAAATCAACAAATGATGAAGAAAGATTGAATTCAAAGTGAAGATTCTACTGGTGATTATTATTGATAGAGTACTGATATGATATAGCTGGAGCATGGATGAAGAAGAGATTCCACCAAGTGATGATGAAGGGATCTTTCTCTCGACTCAAATACAGGGGAAATTGGATGATTTGGATCAAGAAACAAAGAAGAATGAAGTTTCTGATTTCTTACAGAAATTTGCCTTGAAAACATCAGAATCATCATTAGTATCATCTGTGTCATCATCATCAAGCAGTATACCAACACCTAGACCGCCTTTAAAAGTGAAGAAGAATGCTCAGCCAAAAATTACAAAACCAAAACCAAAGAAAAAGGCAAAGAAATTATCAGTCACAGATCAAATGATTAGGAAACTTTCTGGTAAACCACAAAAATTCAGACAAATGCAAATTAGAGAACCAACCACTAGTGGTGATCTGTTATTAAAAGCAAGTGCAACTTCTTCTTTCAATAGTGATGATGGACATTGTTATGATTCGGTTTTCACACCAAATGAATGGAGACATTTGAAATATACATTTAAAAGGAAAGAAATACCCAGAAGGTCTGAAATATTACACCCAAGTTCTGATTGTACATCAAAACTGAAATTATGGGAAGCATCTACTGAATCACCGGATTTTGATATGAATGATTGGAATAGTTTATATGGATATCATTCTCCACAAAGAATTGGTCATGTTGAAACTGAGATTTCACCAGCCATAACTTTCAGTCAAGCATTTAGAAGTTCACAAGATGGGAACTATGGTCCTCCTGATGATACAAGGATCGTACAAAATGATAAAATATCACCAGTTTCATCATTCAGTGAGGTTGGATTTTCGTCAGATGAAGGTTCGATTATAGAAGTTGAACCAATATCCAAACCAAGAGTACATCATAGAAATTCAACAAGGGGAACGCTCGATGATCCAATAGAACTGCTGAGCTCACAAAGTTCAATAATAAGCAATATTTCAAAATATGATACATTTCCACAAGATGTTTGCTTACCAGGTGAAGTTAAATACAAAGGACAAGTCAAGATGAACAGTAATTCGCAACATATAATCAGTCCTAGGCAGAAAGATCAGGATGAAATACCTGATAGCTCAGATGATGATGATGATATAACACATATTATTCAAATTGTACGACGTGATGGTGATAATGATAATTTAGTATGGGAAATTTCGTGTAGTAGTGATGATGATGATTTTTAATGAGATTTAATGAATTTAGAGACAATAGATGATTGAGCTTTTCATGATTCTGTAGACCTTTTTTCGAATTGAATCTTTGCAAGTAGGATTCATTTTCGTCTTTTATATGTTTTTAATTTTGTTGATGTAGTGCCTTTACCGAGCATTTTCTATAGAAATTATAGAAAAAGTAAACAAACCATTGATCAAAAGTAAGAACAAAAGGGAAGAATCCCACACCATCCAACTTCAAAACCAACTCACATCATGTCATATTCATACGCAAATACACTTAATGGTTCCATATCGTCACTATCGGCATCAGTATCGCTTTTAGGGAATAGTCTGAATTCATTAGACGCGCTATCAGAAGATTTCGAAAGGTTACCAACAGTATTAAAACAGTCAAACATTTTCACATTAATACCTGAAACTGATTTAAATGATGCTAAACAACACCTTGTTTATGAGCTAGAGCCTAAGATAGAGGCATTAAAGGATAAAGTCAGATTAAAAATATCTAAATTAGAAAGAAAAAAATCAAATTTAGTATCCAAAATTGAATTGAATCAAGTTAGAATAAATAATTTCAAAAATGATGAGAAGGCAAAGAAAGCAAACCAAGAGAATGTGGAGATTGAAGGCTCAGAAGAAGAATTAGAGAAATTAAGACAATTAAGACTTAAGAAAGATAGATTAAAATTCAAACTTTCAAGTGTAAAACTACAACATAGAAAAGCAAGATTAAGTATGATCCCACGTTGAAAACAAAGTTTTACATTAATGATAATTCCAGGTTTTTAAACATCTTACTAGTCAAATGTTCCAATCCATTCAATTTAGCACCAATACTAATCAAATTTGGATCTTGACAATGGATTAATAATTTTTCCACTTCAATAACAACAGAATTATTAAAAGTTATTGATCTTGTTAAATAATCATTTGTTGAGAATTTATTTAAACCGAAAACATGTCCCAATTTACGTTTATCACGATCTAATATATCATTTAATTTTATTGTATGATTTTTCAAACCTTCACGTAATTTATCAACATGACTTATTCCATTTGAATCAATTTCATTCCATGGTGATTCTGTAATCTTCTCTAGGGATTTGAATTCAATTGAAATCTCTGTGTTTAATATAAAGAAATCTATTGTTAATTTATCTTGAAATTGAGATAAATTTTGTCCTGTGGCCAAAGTATCAAATGTTTCAGATAAATTAATTCCATGTTGAGGGAATAATATAGATTCATGAGGTTTATTCAATGTATTATTACAATCTGATAAATTCTTAAGGATCTTCCTCAATTGATCAAGGAACCCATTGATATCATTCAAATCAAATTGTTTTAGTATTTCAATTTCTCCAATCAATTCAGTAATCATTCCAATAATCTTAGTTATTTGTACTAATTCGATTGGTGATTGTAATTTCAAATGAATTTTCCTATTCAAAGTTTTTAAATGTAGTTTGATATCCAGATCTATCAACTCAGACGAAGATCTTGATACGATTCCTTTAACTTGCTCGGTTCGATTGGAACTTATTGGTAATTTGATGATATCTTTGGAAGTTATAACATCAAGACAATGACCTAATGTCTCTATAATCTTGGGTAATTCTGGTTTGATTATATGCTCTATGAGCCATTTTTGTTCACTTTTTTGCACAGTTTCCTCCTGTTGTTTGATTTCGTTATTCGGTATCTTTGGGAATATCTCAGTAGTCATTTTAATAGCAGTTTCTCATTGATGGGGTTCAAATGGTCTTCCATAGTTAAGGAAAGTCAAATTACTTTGAAATCGCGATCAAAATAGAAATCTATAAAAATTCAAAACGATCAACCCATAATTTTGACTTAAACGATAACATCACCAAAAGTCAAAAAAATACAATACAAAAACATTAGCAAAATGTTGTCAAGACACATACCCAATGTCACTCAAGTATCAACTACAATCTCCAAAAGAACATTCATAATCTCCACTTTGGCAACTTTAACAAACTCTCAATATTTCAAGAATATTCAATTGGCTGATGAGATTGAAGATATTCATAATAAGTTACCATTCCCACAAATGGATGAATTTATTCAGCAAGCAAGAGAACCATTACACGAGGATCGTAAATTTCCAGATGGTCGTATCAAATTAAATTCATTGGAACAAAGTTCAATATTCTTGATTAGTGGGATAAGTGCACTTTTAAATCCTGCTAATGGAACTCATATTAATAATTTTGGTGAAGTTTCATCATTTGAATTTGTTTTAAAAAATTTGAGAGACCAAATGTTACAAACTTCAACAGGAAGATCTATACTTAGAGAAAGACCTTTAATGAATAATGAAACATTAGATCCAGAATGGTTGAAAACATTACCAGAAAATTCTTTAGGTTTCCAATATTTGAAATTTACAGAAGATGGTGATTCAAGAGCACCTGTTAAATTGATCCAAGATGAAGAATTAGCATATGTATTCTTAAGATATAGACAAACTCATGACATTGTTCATATATTGACGAAATCTAAAATTGATTTAGCTGGTGAATTACCTGTTAAGGCATTTGAATTTGGTAATACCGGATTACCAATGACAGGATTAGCATGTTTTGCATGGTTTAAATTAAGTGATAAACGTAAAGCTCGTATTAATATGTTTGACTCATTTTTGAATGGATTACAATCAAAACCTTTTATTGGTGTAAAATGGGAAGATTTCATGGAATGGGATGTTGAAGATGTTAGAAAAGAATTAGGTGTTATTCCACAAAATTAAGAGGGATTACATCAGTATAATTATTAACTGTATATATTAAACATTATAAAATCTATTTATGGAATCTATGTAAGATACGATTTATTTTGGATTCTTCTAAATGTGTTGAAATTTGTTCAACTTCATCGCTACTATTAAGTGATTTTTCATCACAAGGTTCAACCCCATATTTAACCAATTCTTTTCCAGTCATAGCATTATAATAATCCTTTTTATCAACTTCTTGCGTTATAGTAACAGGTTTCCATAAACAAAGTCCCCAATAAATGAAGAATGAAATTAAAAATGCAAAAAATGTATCACCATAATAAAAATTAATTATACCTTGAGCATTTGAAAAATAATGATTATTAATTTGCCATGCCATACCTGGTAAACCTGGTGCTGTGGCACAAACAAATGCAACCATAGCTCTCCAATTAACACCCCAAGTATAATAATAATCTGAATCTTTAATTTTAAAAGCATGAGAAATTCTATATTTCCCCTTTCTAATTATAAAATAATCACAAACAATAATTGAAATGATTGGAGTTGTAATAACACCAAATGAACTCATAACTGTAAGGAAACTTGAACTTGTATTATAAAAATTCCAAGGTTGAACAGCAAATGATAATGCAGTTGTTATTAGGGCACCTCTTCTAATATTTATATATTTTGGTAATACACCTGCAAGATCCATCCCACCTGCAAATCCACAAGTAACAACATTTAAACAAACTTGTGAATAAATAAATGCAAATGCTATAAATGTAGCTGCACATCTTGTTGCAGCATCATAATGTTGATTCAACCAATAAAGGACAATATCAGTTGGAACCCACATTTGTTCACCATATGCAGCTTTTGTACATGAAGCACCAATAACACCAAATAATGGAACCACAGTTGTTGGGATTAATAAGGCAAGTACAGTACCTGCCCATAATTTAGTTTTGGAAGATGCAAATCTTGAATAATCAGCTTGATTTGTTGAACCTGGTGAAACTGAACTGAACCAAATAGTTATGATATAAACCCAAGTCCATGCTCTCTTAGAACCTTTCAATTCTGTTTCTAAAGTGAATAAATCACCATATCCATCAGCTTTATTAACAAGGAAAATAACCATCCCTAACATGGCGAAAAAACATGAAAAACATGATGTGACTAATGGAATATTCATCTTATGAGGCTTAATAAGATAACAAAGTGCACAAATGATTTGGAATATTATAAACCCAACAAAATCTCTTCTTGTCATTGCAATTCCGGGGCTAAAAGTATTTGACATATTCATATAAGAAGGAGACCAAGCAGAAAGTAATAATGAAGTAGCAAGACCACCCATCCAAGCATTTGAGCCAGCATTAACAATACTCAATAACACTCTAACCAAAATACCTAAACCTGAACCATAAATCCCAAATGAAATTCTTTGACACACAGTATAACCAATATGCCAATCTGTCCCAGGGTAAGAATTTGCTAAAGTGAAAGCCAAAGTTAATAAATCACCAAGAATATAAGCACCAATGATTTCTCTAACGTTTAACCCAAGGGATAATGAAGATGAAGCAGATAACCAAGTAACCATACTTAAAGAAATGATCCCCCAATAACCAAAATTTGACCAAAACCCCCATATTCTATATTGTGGTTTTATAGGTTGTAAATCAGGATTTTGTAGTACTGAAAGAGTTTCTCTTTCTGATACTGGGACTTCCAGAGTCCTTAAAGCCTTGCTCAAGAATGACATTGTTTGAACACTATGAACAATGAACTATGAGACAAATTGACAAGATCTTCAAGAGATATACCTTAGTTTATATAACAATGGATGATCCATAACATGATGATAGTTTTTTTTTCACTTCATCGTATGGTATGCATTTGCAACGGTTTTTTCAACACTTTGCAACCGTTGTTTATATGATTTTTCCGTTGTTAGAGTATAAAATTTGGTGGTATTCACTTATATGGATTGGATGTGACTGTCATTTCTTTGTATGGTGTGATACGTGTCAGTAAGTATTATGTAATACTTGTACTGTGTATGACATAATCACCGTATTTTAAAACACGTCAACATTGAAAACTTGAAAAGGTTATGAAATTGAATCAAAATAGAATCAAAAGATTCAGTGCGTGAACAGTGTATACATTATACGTTCAACAGATATTACAACACCCAATTATACTAGACAGATGAAGTAAACTCATAGAATGACTACTGGAAGCACTGGAAACACATTGGATCAATACATCGACATATCACATATTCCTTTACTACTGGCATATCCCACATGTTTATTAGCTTCTACTCTAATATATCAATCATCAGATCAATTGAACATTGGTGAATTATTACTCAAATCAATATGGATCCCCGGTGTGATAAGTTCATTGCTGATAGTGGTGTATTACTATATGGGGAATCAAGCACAACAGCGAAGAACATCAGTATCATCAACATTAAGTTCATCAACTAGTACTGGGTTAAAGGACATTATATCATCAAATGAACAATTTTTAGCTATTTTTGGATTATTGATTGTTAATTCTCAACTGGGTTCATTAAGAACTGTGGTATTGGCATTAGTTCTCATAATAAGTTCAAATATTTGGTTTAGTGGTGCTTGTTTGATTTATGATTTATGGGTATTATATTCAAGTACTAATGAACTATACCTTATACCAAAATCATTAGATCAATCAAATTTATATTTTATAATATTAAGTTATCTTATACTTTATCAAATTCATCCACAATTAAGATCAATTAATTCATCAAACAATATTTCACAAGATTTAAAATTACCAATCATTATATTTATAATTTCTTTAATTGGATTAGTATTAAATTTGGAGAAAATTCAATCAAGTATGATTTTAGTTTCATTAGGTTGTGGGATTATAATAAATATAACGAAATTAGATTTGCAACAAATTAAATTTTCAAAAGGTTCACCAACAATAACAGGTTTAATATCATTAATACTGGTTGGATTATCATTTAATAACCTTTTCAATTTAGAAAATAAGCTTAAAATTTTAGGAGAATTGATTATAATTTTCCTATCTGGTATTATAAATGTTAATGAATCTTTTTTTGAACCCCAATCAACTAATTCACATTCACACACCCATACATCAATTGAACAAGAAGATTCAATAATTCATGAATTATTAAAACATAAAGATACAAGAGCAATTTTTTCATTCTTATTATTAAATACATCATTCATGTTTATACAATTTCTTTATTCATTTAGATCAAAATCTCTTGGATTATTATCAGATTCTTTACATATGGCATTAGATTGTACTTCATTAGCCCTGGGGCTTGTTGCCGGGATATTAGCTAAAAAACCACCAAATGAAATATATCCATTCGGTTTAGCTCGTATTGAAACTCTTGCAGGTTTTGCCAATGGTGTTTTATTAATTGGTATAGTAGCTGGTATAGTTATTGAAGGTATTGAAAGATTATTAAACCCTGTTACTTTAGAAAAAACTGGTGAATTATTAATTGTTTCATTCTTGGGGCTTGTTGTTAATATCGTGGGGATTTTTGCTTTTAATCATGGTCATGGTGATCATGGAGGTCATAGTCATGGACATAGTCATTCTCATGGACATTCTCATTCTCATGGTTCTGGTTCTGATGATGATGATGATCTAAAAGATAATGATAATATGAGAGGGATTTTCTTACATATTTTAGCTGATACTTTAGGTTCTGCAGGTGTTGTTATATCAACAATTTTAACATCAATATTCCATTCACAAATATTTGACCCATTGGCTTCATTATTTATTGCAATTATGATTTTTTTCAGTGCAATTCCATTAATTAAATCAAGTGCATCAAATTTATTATTAAGTTTAGATGATAAAAAAGATGAAATGATGAAAGATATATTAAGTCAAGTTTCTACAACACCAGGTGTTGCTGGATATACAACTCCAAGATTTTGGCCAAGTGTGGAAATTGTAAATAATGATGTTGATAATCATGGACATTCACATTCAATTGAATTAAATGAAAAAAATCATCAACATGAACATGATCATAGTCATAGTCATAATGAACATAATCATAGTCATGATACTCATAGTCATAGTCATGATCATCAGGATGAACATAAACAAGAAGTTAAAAAATTCAATCTATTAGGTTATATTCATATTCAATATATAGAGGGAGAAAATTCAACAATTATAAAGAAACGAGTACAAAGAATCTTTGAACAAAATGGGATAAAATGTTGGATCCAAGTTGAAAATGAAGATTCAAATTGTTGGTGTAGAAGTAATAAATAGAGGATATAAACATTGGTTTTTTTTAGAATTAGATCAGTATTATTTGTAGTTTATATTCGTTTTGTTTTGTATGTTGTTGTCTTTACCGATGATTTCGGATTTGTAAGTACATAAAGAAAAAAAAAATATTTCATATATAAACAAAAAACTGACATATAAAAAATCAAAATATTATATACAAATTTACATCAAACTAAAGAAGTTTGGGTTTGAAATAGGAAATTATTATACAAGAACATGTCAAGAGTCGGAACATTAGTACTAGGACCAGCTGGTGTTGGTAAAGTAAGTGAAAACAACCATTCTTTTTCTTTTTTACTTGCAAACTTACTAACTATATCATAGTCCACATTTTGTAATGCAATGATAACTCATATGCAAAGTATAGGACGTCGAGCTCATATTGTCAACTTAGATCCAGCTGCAGAACCATCAGAATTTGAATTCACAATAGATATCAGAGATTTGATCTCATTACAAGATGTTATGGAAGAATTAAATTTAGGTCCAAATGGTGGATTAGTTTATTGTTTTGAATATTTATTACAAAATTTAGATTGGTTAGATGAAGAAATTGGTGATTATAATGATGAATATTTAATTTTTGATTGCCCTGGACAAATTGAATTATATACACATATTCCAGTCTTACCAACTATTGTTAAACATTTACAACAACAATTAAATTTTAATCTTTGTGCTACATATTTATTAGAAGCTCCATTTATTATAGATCGTTCTAAATTCTTTAGTGGTGCGCTAAGTGCAATGAGTGCAATGATTTTATTAGAATTACCACATATTAATATTCTAAGTAAATTAGATTTAATTAAAGATGAATATTCTAAAAAACAATTGAAAAAATTCTTAAATCCTGATCCATTATTATTACATCAAGATGTTAATAATACAACAAATCCAAAATTTGCAAGATTAAATGAAAGTATTGCTCATTTAGTTGATGATTTTGGTATGGTTCAATTTTTACCATTAGAAGCTAAAAATTCTGAATCAATTACTACAATTTTAAGTTATATAGATGATGTTACTCAATGGGCTGAAGGTCAAGAACCTAAAGAACCAAATGATGGTTTAGAATTTGATGATGATGATTTAGAATGAATGAAATTTGTATATATATTGAAATACATTGGTAAATGATAAAATATAAAACATTGTATAATTTTTAAAACACATATATTATATATATATATATTACATTAATTCTTTTATTTGGCTTCATTAATTTTCGTAACTAGTTGTTCCAATCTTGATTGGATTTTGGTATCTTTTTTGGATTTTGGTTTTGAGATTTGTTTCTTTGTTGTTTTGGTAGATGGTGAAGATTTTATAGATTTGGTTTGTTTAATCTTTGGTGATTGTTTAGTCTCATCTTTAACAAATTCTTGTTCTTGATCTTGCTTTACTTCCTTTTTAACTCTTTTTTTACTCTTTGGTTGATTAATTTGTTGATCATAACTATCAACAATCTTTGGTATATTTTGACAATCACCAGTTACTATAAGATCAATATGTTCAACAAAATCCACCACACTAACTGTTGGTTCATCAACATTTACCCATATAACACAGCCACGAGCAGCATGAACTGATCTTGCTAATTCTCTAACTAATTTTCTAACTCCTGGAATTTTCAATGATGTTCCTGCAATAATTAAACAATCAGGTTTGGATTTTAAATCTAAAGTGGAAACTTGTCCAATATGTTCACCATCTGGATGAAATTCATTATATAAAACGATTCTTGGTCTTAAACATCCAATCCCTTGTGATCTTTTACCAGATAATATCCTTATTTCATCTAATTCAGTACATTCTGGACAAGCTGGAGCTTCATTACCTTCAAATAATTCAGGTTGTAAAGTAGAATTCCAACGACATTTGGAACAATACATATATTTTATGGTTCCATGTAATTGAATAGTTGGTGGATATGGTGGATTTGATTTGATTGGCACTGTGGTTTGTAAATCTGATAAATCTGTTTCAAGACAATCTATATTTTGAGTATATAATCTTAATAATCTTCCATCTTTTGATATATCATTCAACATTTTATGGAAATCTGTTGGTTCTGATTCATTAGTTAATTCATATAATTGTCTAATCATTGCATGGAATTTGGCTGTTGATTCATAATCTCTATAAACATTTGAATCGAAAAGTGCCTTACCAGTAGAGCCTGATGAAGTTGCAGATTTTAAACCTTGAAATAACCCATTTGATGATCTAAAATCAGGAATCCCTGAAGCAACTGAAATACCAGCACCGGTAACACAGGTTATTTTCCTAGAATATTTTAAAGCATAATGTAAGAAACTAACATCTTCATTATCAATTAAATCATCTTGATCCAAGATTGGTATATCTTCATCATATGAACTTATATTCAAGATTGTACCATTTTCAGGTCTATATTTCATTCTTGGTTTTCTTTTAGGTTTTGTAACAACTTTCTCTAATTTCTTCTTTTGGTCCATTTCTTCTTGTAAAACTCTTTCATTTGGAGGAGTTAGGGGGTATGCAACTTCCCTTTTCAATAGCTCTATACCATCACCATAGTCTTGTTTTTCATCTTTAACTTCAACATATGTTTGTGATGATGGTGGTGTTATCATCGACATTTTAATCTCTCTATATTAATTATCCCGTTATTATTCTATATCTTTGAAGTGGTACAAAAACGAAATCGGGTATTAATTATGATGATATGATATGATTCTCTGTCTGTACTGATCTTTGAATGAGTGTGAACCTCTTGAACCTAAGGTATTTGGTATGAATATGAATATGAATATGAAAACAAACAACAAAAACAAAGAAAAACAATTTGCTGTGGAAACAACTGTTCTATTCCATTTCAACAGAAAGTCCAATTTTGTCTAATATTTTAAAATTTCGCACTTTGCATTTTATGTTTTCAATTATCCGAAAAGGGAAACTTGCCATTTTCGCTAAATTGAGCCCTCGGTATTCCAAACTCAGGTGACGCGTCAGGTGACACAAAAACCATTTCCGACCATTTTCAAAATCTTCATTAAATTAACATCAAAAAAGGCAAAAATTAAAGTAAATAAAGAAAGTTGATTAAAGTGAGATCGAAGAATTGATCAATTTTCATAAAACAGTTCCCCCATAATGGTACAAATCAGTGAAGTGAAAGATAACAACTCAAGAGAGTCTAGAACCGCTGCTCATACACATATCAAAGGTTTAGGTCTAGATGAACGTGGTATTCCAAAACCAATTGATAATGGGTTTGTTGGTCAAACTGAAGCTAGAGAAGCTGCTGGTGTCATTGTGGATTTAATTAAAGCTAAAAAGATGAGTGGTAAAGCCATTTTACTTGCTGGTGGTCCAGCTACTGGTAAAACTGCAATTGCATTGGCTATTTCACAAGAATTAGGTCCAAAAGTTCCATTTACTCCAATTGTTGGTTCAGAATTATATTCAGTTGAAGTTAAAAAAACTGAAGCTTTAATGGAAAATTTTAGAAGAGCTATTGGTCTTAGAATTAAAGAAACTAAAGAAGTTTATGAAGGTGAAGTTACTGAATTAACTCCAGAAGAAAGTGAAAATCCATTAGGTGGTTATGGTAAAACAATCTCTCATGTTATTGTAGGATTAAAATCTGCAAAAGGTACTAAAACCCTTAGATTAGATCCAAGTATTTATGAAAGTATTCAAAAGGAAAAAGTCACTGTGGGGGATGTCATATATATTGAATCAAATACTGGTTCTGTTAAAAGAGTTGGTAGATCAGATGCTTATGCAACAGAATTTGATTTAGAAGCTGAAGAATATGTTCCATTACCAAAAGGTGATGTTCATAAGAAAAAGGAAATTGTTCAAGATATTACATTACATGATTTAGATGTTGCAAATGCTAAACCTCAAGGTGGTCAAGATGTTTTATCAATGATGGGTCAATTATTAAAACCAAGAAAAACTGAAATTACTGAAAAATTACGTCAAGAAGTTAATAAAGTTGTTCAAAAATATATTGATCAAGGTGTTGCTGAATTAGTTCCAGGTGTTTTATTCATTGATGAAGTTAACATGTTGGATATTGAAATTTTCACTTATTTAAATAGAGCATTAGAAGCTTCAATTGCACCAATTGTTGTCTTAGCTTCAAATAGAGGTTTAACAACTGTAAGAGGTACTGATGATATCAAAGCTCCACATGGTATCCCACCAGATTTAATTGATAGATTGTTAATCATCCGTACATTACCATATTCAACTGAAGAAATTAAAATTATTATAGAAAAAAGAGCTAAAATTGAAAACTTACCAATAAGTGATGATGCATTAAATAAATTAGCTTCTGAAGGTTCTTCAACTTCTTTACGTTATGCTTTACAATTATTATCACCAGCTGGTATATTATCTAAAACTTTTGGTCATAATGAAATTCAAGTTAGTGATGTTGAAGAAGCTCAAGGTTTATTCTTAGATGCTAAAAGAAGTACAAAAGTTTTAGAAACTCAATCTGGGTTCCTTTGATTGTTAGTTAATGTCTTATAGAATAACCGAAATAAAGATAAATGATGTATACTACTGAAATAAAAATAATTAAAAGTGAAGAATATTTACGAGTAAATGTATGAAATTACATTAAATTTTTGTAAATTGTATTAGTATATACTATTAATTTGTCTAATTACCTAATGATGAAATTTCTTTCAAAAATGAAGTTGGTGAATAAATTTGAGTTGAACCATAAATAACTGATTTACTATTACCTTGACTTGTAGCTAAATTTGCCCATTCTTGTAAATTTTGATATTCTAAATAATTACCACCACCAACAACGAAAACAACAGATTCTAAATATGATTGTCTTTTTGGTTGTTTTGAATGTGAACCTCTAATAACTTTTGGATCATAATATAAATAATCATCTGTAACTCTTAATCTTTCATCTCCTGCATTTTGTGGATCCATAATTGTTTCCACTATATTTGTGATTGGCATTGCTTTTTTTTCTGGTAATAATCTCTTGATACCTGAAATTAATGAACCAACACCTTCAGTTAATTTACCATCTGTTAAATTATATAATTTTGATGATAAACTTGAAAATAATGCGCCTGAATTTGCTTGTGAATTTTGTTTTGTTGTATCTTTTGCATAACTATTTAAAACAATTGATGAATCTCTCATTTTAGAATTTTCTTTAAATTTACGAATATATTTTAATGCTTCAATATTAAAACCTTCATGTTTACTAAAACTTTCTTCAACTTCTTTAATAAAATTTGTTGGTAAATCTGTAGTTAGTAACATGACTAAGAAAGTTCTTAATTTGTCTTCTAAATTATGAGTATTATTATCTGTATTTAAAACTTCTAAAAATGTTGATCTTGATTTTGGATCACTTAAACTTTGTTCAATTTCAAAAAATGAATCCAATCCTTTAGCTTTCAATTCATTTAATAAAGCTAATAAAACATTCATATGCATATCAATAATTGTCTTTCTAGCTGTTAATTCTGGTAATTGATTAACAGTTTGTTGTAAAGTGTCATCTTTCTTACCATCAAGATCATTATAAGATTGGGCACCACCACTTTTAGTTAATTCAGCTGCAGTTTCTTTATAATTTTTCAATTCTGTATCAGCATTATCAACAGCATCTGGGAATGGTAATTGAGAATTTTTATTCCAAAAAAAATCTTTTGGATCTAAATCATATTGTTTTTTAGATTTTTTACCATTTTCTTCAGTTTCTAAAGTAATTGTATTTCTTTCTAATTTGAAAACATCTGCAACTAAGCATTGATAAATCCATGAATGAGCAAACATAGCAGCAAGATCTAAATTACGATCTAGTAATACCAAGACAAATCTTTGTGAAAAATCTTGACTTGTAGAGAATTTTGTACTTATAACGTAATCACGTAATTTTTGATCTAATTTTTGTGCAACAAATTCAGATGGACCACCTGGTTGAGCACGTATTATTGGTATGTTTCCTAAAGTTATTATAGAATCATATAATCCACTTGCAACTTTATCAGCCAATTCATTAATTTGATCTTCAGTTGTTTTGGCATCACTAAACGAAGAATATATATTTGGTAGTTCTAATGAAAACAAACTTGGTTCTGTAACAACATAATTCAAATATTGATCATAAACTTGTAAGATTTTTGATGATTTACCAGTGACAGCAACTAAACTTGCAAATTCTTCTAAAAGATCACGGTTTAAACTTGATGTAAAATTAATATAGAAACTTGAGTATTTATCATCTTTCAAATCTTGGACAATTTGAGTAATGTTTGATTTTGTAGGTTCGACAAAATAAATTGCAGGAACATCTGGCAATGGTGATCTTGAAGAATTAATCACAGTATGCATTGTTATACCACATCTCAATAAATCATTGACCCTTAAAACAGATGAAATGATAGAGGTACTTTTAGCATCAAGAACAAGAACCTTCCATACAATTTCTTCACCATTTAACCCTGATGTAAGATCTGAACCTTCTGAATTGATATTTAAATGAAGCATTTTCTCTAAAGAAGCTAAATGAATTTCCAAATGTTAGTGAAATGTTCAGCTTAAAACAACAATTACAAAACTTTAAAGCCACCAAAGCACCAAAACTCACCTATTTGCCTTTCCCTAAGAGTACTCCCATGATTCAATGACATCTTCAATTTCTGAAATCAATTCCTGATCAATGAAACAACCAAATTTACCTTGCACGCTTAAGACAACTCAATAGTAAACACGTCTACAAAGTGCCATAATAAACTCGATCTTTGATGGGCGCGGAATTCGCAAAAAATACACAAGTCGCGAAAACTTTGTGAACCTTTTTGAAATGGCAGATTTTCGAGGTCACGTGACATTTCTATCACGTGATTCAATTCTTGGTGTCTGGGTTTTTTGTTTACTGAGATTGCATCGGCTTATTTTAAGAAGCTTTGCATAGAACCAATTTCCAGAAACAAGTGACAAGTTTCCAAACATCCACGGACCATAAGGCCTAAAGCCTGAAAGAATGTCTTACTCATCGGCTACATATCTCTCAAAGGTAATGCATCGGTCGAAGAATCGGTATAGATTGGCATACACTTGTTCTTTGCAGGTTCATCAGTGAAATTGAGATGGTATATAAGTGCTGCTGACTTATCTGTTGGATGAGTTAATATTGATGGTAATGGATCTAAAGCTCAATGCTATTGTTATGTTATTAGGTGTGGTGGGTGTTGTAATGGGTGAATATTATTTAAGTGCTTTACGAGACTTGATTGAAAGCTCAATCTTTTATACCTTGTGGGCGTTAGATAATTGGGGGATCATCCTTGTGAGAATTCTGGAAGACATTTTAGAAATGTGGTTGGTAAATATTAGCCGACCTGCTTTGCATTGCAAATACGTACTGAAAGTTGTGTGTGTTTTTTGATCAAGTTTGAGCTTTGAAGCAATAGTGTCCAAGAGTACCTAGTAGGACAACGGATACACAAGGCAAAATTCGAATCCATACAAAGAAAATGCTTTACTTAATGGATAAGTTGTTATGAATACTTGATCATCTGTCTAGTTGTATCTTATTAATAATTCATTATCCGTACGTTGGTATATCATATCAGGTTCAATTGCTTACAATCTCTCGGAATTAGAAATTGATTTGTCTTTAATCAAATTGTTCAAAAGGACTATTCGTTTAAAAGGGTCGAGAAGTTCATAGGATAACGATTCTTGTACAATTACAGGGCCAGAAGAAAATCTATTATTTGTACATATGCATATATCTATAGTACTTCCCTAAGTTCTATAAGATGCAATTTTTTGATCGCATAACTTTTAACACTTGATCTTGGTCCTTTGAACGGTTGAAAATTAATCGCTTTCCGTATATTGTTAGTTTTAACTTTTTATCCAATTGCCGTTATCATTAACAATGTTACTGGTGCGTAAAGTGATAGGTGTTATATTTGATGAAGAACAACTAATTCTATTGATTTAAAAGGATATACATTGTGGGTTTATTAGATTGGCGCTATGGTGAAACAACATCATGGATAGAATTAAACAGTTGTATTTGAGCATCCATCTTGAAAGGTGCAAGACATGGGTATGTACAACAGTGAACTTAGTACATGTACCCTCAAGCTACAGCAGAAAATGTCAAGGTTTCAGGTTAAAACAATTTATTACTTCGTGCATCGTGTTTTTTTGAGTATACTTTTATTTGCAGCTTTGGACTTTTACAAAATATTTGTCTTTTGAAGAGTACTTCATAGAAAATATGATCCTTGGACCTTGACTGGGTAGGTATGGATAATAGACACTACTGAAGGGGATTTTAGGAACTCAAGCGTTGCTGATGGGGACATTTTGTCATGTTAAAAGATTTCCAATGTCTTCAAATGCTTTAGACACATACCTTTACATACGATATTGGTCGGAAAGTATATACAAATATTCTTACTCATAAATCGAACCACTCTACAGCTAATGGTGTTCTCATCCTTGAATAAGAGCCAGCTAGATTCAAAGTTGGTTTATTTATCTCAATTCTACTTTATGATTTATCGGTCCTTAAAGTTCCAGCCAACTCATTTGGATCCTAGTAATAGCATCTGGGTGTATCTATGTTATTTTGACCTGATATACTGATCACTAACTGACCAGTGAACTATATACTATCATGGTGAAGTATAACCTCTTTTAATAAATGCATTTGTCTTTTTTTGTGTTTAAGATTTATATACGGTCATCATTTGAGTCCACTGTTTTTTTAGTATGGTATACATCAATAGCTTAATGCTAATCGCTTTTTCATATCTGGCTCTCTTTTTAAAAGCAATACATACCTTGGTAGCGATTCGTAGTCTATAATATTACACAAGGGGCTTTAAATGACTTCTTGAACCTCAAATCATCTTCCCTTATAATTAAGAGAGAGAATCCACAAATTTTTTCTAAAAATAATTTGATTGATTATAAGCCTATTTTCTGTGTGCATATTTGTAACCTATAATACAAGAATATTCATACCCTATAGTTGAAAGATGATGTGAATGACACAGAACATGGTGAGCTAGCTCTTTCTTAAAAGGTTTTGTTATTCAATATTCATAGATTTTTCAGTGCAAGTGGACATATTATCAAAGTAATTGAATGATTAATGGTACTATTAATATTGGTTCAAGACCTTAAAATGAATCAACCAAACTTATTCAAACAGGTTTCCCAAATAAGTCCCTACATCACAGCAATATAATAAATCAACATATATCCATAAACCAAACTATAATAACAAAAAACGAATGCAAACAACTCACGTGTGTTTATTTAAATAAAAAAAGAACTGAAATCAAATTATAATCAATACTTCAAACAACAATAACATATATGATAAAACTCAACAATAAATATGCTTCATAAAAAAAAAGATTCCTTCAGTTGTTAAATGAGGATTTGGTAGAAATGTGGTATGTTCAATAACCTTTTAAAAATGTCTCTAGTATTGGATCATCATTTAAATGCTCTTCAACAACATGATAAATCTCCATCAAAAGATTTGGGAATCTTTTGTTAAAAAATTGATAGAATCCATTAGGCAATGGGCTCATTCTAGTGGCTAGTTCTGGTGGTAAATCATTAAAATGATGATACTTATTTCTCAATGCTCTTAATAAATCCATTAATCTATCCGGATGGTATTTTCTGTATTTACCTAAATTATCAAGAAAATTTTTATCAAACTTTCTACACCAATCATCAGCAATAACTTTGGTAGCAACAGATTCTAATTCCAACAATAATGCACTTGGTGGGTCTCTTCTTTCAACTTCAAATCTATCACTTACTTTTAATAAGAAATCCAGCTTCTTAGAATCATCCCAAAAATAAGGATGGTTTAAAACCTGTGAAGTGTTTAATCTTAACTTAGGGTTTCTTGAAATCATTTTTGAAATCAAATCTTTAGCTTCTTCAAGATTATCTGGTAAAATTTCCAAAGCTTCTAAAGAATATTCACCTTTAATTACATTACCTTCCCTCAGGTAACGATCACCAAATGGATGATTCCCATGAGATAATATATAAAAGAAAACACAACCCAATGAAAAAATATCAATGGCTCTGGTTAATCTTCTCTTTGATAACGTATCAAACACAAGTGGCTCAGCGATTGAATTAGATGATGTTGTGAATGAATGGTCACTTGAGACAGAACAAGAATTATAAATTGTATTTGTTGCATCCACCAACAGTTCAGGAGCTCTCCAACCTGAAGTACCAGCTGCATGTTGTGTTGTAGCTCTAAATGAACTTTCATCAGTCTCTAACCTTTTACATAAACCAAAGTCTGATATTAGAATTCTAACTGGTGCATATTCATCTTTACTTGATCTTGATTTAATTTTCTTTGGTGGTGCAACTAAAATATTCTGTGGTTTAATATCTCTGTGAACTATCTTTAAAGAGTGCAAATGATGTAACCCTTGTGCAATTTGGAATAAGACGTCCACAGGATTCATCAACTTTGTAAGATCTAAATAATTTGTTGGCTTCTCGATAATATCCTCTAAACTTGCACTGCATAACTCTAATGCAATGTATAAAAACTTGTCATTTGTTTCACTGTAGAAGTACCGTATAACATTTGAATGATCATCACTTTCTGTTAACAGATTAATCTCATGACTTGCAACATCGTAGAACTCTATAAGCATTCTCTTTACAGCAACATCACGATTCTGAAAAGTCCCCTTATAAACCATGGTACCATAAGAACCGTAACCCAACACAGTATCAGAGATCGTCAACTCGTTCAACTTCTGTGGTGCGTTAGAACTTTCCGGTTTAGATATCGTTGTATCAGCTGCCTCCACTGTGTCTTTATTTTCTAAATCATTTGATTTCTTGTTCTTTTTACCACCTCTACTTCCTCTTTTACGTTTCTTTACAACATTACTTTCACCATTGGCCTTTTCACCATCCTGAGTTGGGACGACAATCTTCACTTCTTTCTTAGCTTTTTCCTTACTTTTATTTGAATTCGCACCATTGGCTGATGTGGGGAGTTCTTCCTTAGAATCTTTCTTATTGTCAATAGATTCTTTGTTATTCTCATCTATGTCATGATTGACTAAAATTTTAGATTGCTCTTCATAGGTAACCTCTTTCAGTTCTAGTCCATTCTTCTTCAAAAGTGCATTCAATGAGGAGAACCAGTTGAACCTTTTGTAAAAAACACCAAGGAAGAAAACAGAAATTAGTGAAAAAACCAATGCCCAATTGTTAAAATGATTACCTTGAGCTTCCGGAGAAGGACCAATTTCTAACATAGCTTCAGAGGCAGATGGTAATCCAAGCCATTGAGATCTTGAAGGTGGATTATAAGTATCTATTTCATTTGATCCTGGTGTGTAAGGTGGACGGTGTGGTGGGTATTGTTGAGGGAAATTTGTTGGATACCCCAATGATGCCTTTGAAGGGTTAGGTTTATTGTAATTCATAGCACCATTTGTAGTTGAATGAACACCAGTAATAGCAGTAATGAATAAATCCGGTATATTTAAAACACTTGGTACTCTCCATCTTTCACTCAATGAATATCTTGAGGCTGGTGCAGATTTGACTAATGATGGATAATATTCACCAGACATGGCATACCACGAACCATTTTTAGTGGTGTCAAGATATACACCCAAGTTCTCTTCTTCTTCAAATCCCAAAGGAGCTTTCAAAGGGTGTGGTACAATCAGGTAATTATCATTGATTCCACTATTAGCTAATCGTTCATCTTGTAAAATATCGAAAACGTTGACAATGGTTTGCGGCAGTTGACTAACCCATTTTGCAATCTTTGACTCCACATCGATTGCCAATAAGGTGTTATCATGAAATGGTGCAATATACGTTTGATCCAATGGTACTGTGTTTTGATAAGCTAAATCCATATCAATATTGTTTTGACCCCAAGTCGAATAAGTGACATTCCAATGAACATTTTCTTTTGAATATATAGTTAATTCATATGTTGTTTTACCAACTAGGACAATTTCTGGGCAGCTTTCAGTCGTATCATCTGTATCTTTACAAACTTTGTCATTTCCAAAAGCATCACATCCTGAGCCATAAGATGAAACTATTTCACCTGTATTCACATTCAACGAGTAGAGTGCAGACTTTCTGATACCAGTATAGATTTTTTCATCATTACTCAAAGCAAATGGACTTTGTAAGACTAGATGACTGATTGAAACTGGTAATTTGTTCAATCCGAACTCTTTATTGAAAAAATATAAATTACCATCGCCATAAGGCTCCACCATCCAGCTTAAAGCATCTTCATCGATATTTTGATCTTCTTTTGATTGATTAGTGGTGATTTTGACTAGTGGCTCTTCAACATCTAATGACCAAATAATTTCACCTGTCTCTCTATCTAAAGCATGTAATGCACCTTCAATATCGGAAGCTAATAAAAGTTTTGAAAGTTTAAAATCATTTATGGCACGATAATTAGCAGCCTGAAGAGAAATTTGGTTATTCTCAAAATTCCAATCATTCCCATATGTGTTCTGTGCTCTCTTAGCGATGGCATCTTCTGTTATTGTTTTCACTGTTTTATAATTTGAATTTGATATTCTTGATAGCCATACAGGAGATATGAAAAAGAATAGTACTGAGAGAACAGGAAGTATGGCCAGTAGCAAGTTCCTAAGAGGGAAATGCATTTTTTATAGAAGCCCCCTATTCAATACTAGCTTTTTGATCTTGAACAAAACGTTGGACTACCTTCTATTTCAATAATTAATTTTTTTTTCAATTTCCAAAAGTCAAGCTCCTAAGCATATGGTGTGACAATTCTTGTTAGCTCTACTCAAAGTGGCTAAGCTTTCAAATCAATAGCAAATGGATCTTAAGAATAGGAACTGACTATGCTTGTTCTTTTTGTTGTGATTTGTAGTGGTCTGTGTATTACCAATCTAGGCGGCTAGCGTTTGGGCTATATGTATAGGCAGCTGATTTTTTTCTGATGATCTACTTTTTTCGTACCTTCGCGCTTTTCAATATTCGCGAGCTGCGCGAATTGATTTTATATTTTTTCCTATACTTATTCAATTCAAGTACTTGTATATGTGTATGATAACTACAGGCTGAATTTAGAATCAATTAAATTAATATCAATTATAAATACTCCTTTTTAAGAGTAGTGAGTATATATGATTGTCCAAATGCAATCAGAAATGTATAAATATAAAACCATATTATGTAAACAAGATCAAAGAACTAAATTTTAAACAAGATAAACCAAACAAAACCAAGTGAAAACCAAACAAAAAACAAATCAGCATCATTGAAAAAAAGTAAAACAAGTTATGAAAGCAGGGTATAATTAAAGGCATTAGTCATTTCAGTCGTTAAGAATAAATAATCTTATTCTAAGCAGCATTGACTCTATATTCAACAATACCTCTCAAGATTTTAATGTGTCCATAAAATGAATCATAATGGAGATCATCATTGATTTTAGCATTCTTTGGTCTATTTCTATGTTCTAACCCTGGAACAGGCCATGTACACTTCAATCCCAATCTATTACATTCTGTACATCTAGGTCTAGATTCACAGCATCTCTTCTTACGGTGACGGCAAGTCAAACAACCCATTCTTGATCTCTTGGTTTTACCAGTTGAATATCTGTGTGATTTAGGAGTTGAATCTGAATGACCATGACTTTGTGGTGAAGAACCTTCTAAAAGAGAATCTGGGGATGACATTGATGTATATGATGACTCTGTTGCTGATCTTATAGTATCATGACTTAATGTTGTTCCAATGTCATCAAATGATGATGAGCTATGTTGAGCATCTAGTGGGTATTCATGAACTGGGTGACCAACTGCTGTGATCTGAGCACCACTTCCGTATAACCAATTAGCATTATGCGAATACTGTTGTGAAAAGCTTGAACTGGTACTTGTTGGTGAATGATAATCAGTAGCGTGAGAAATTGAATTAACTGGTGAGTGAATAACATGAGCTTGTGGTTGTGGAATATCAGCAGCAGTAGATGACATTGTGTTTGATAATGGATCAGAAGTTGAAATATTTGGAAATGATTCTACTGGTTCACCAGATTGTTTTGGTTGACTAGGACGGAATCCATTCCATTGAAAACTTGGTGGACCGTTGATATGATCTGGAACCATTGTTTTATATATAGTTTGAATGGAACAAAGTGATTGGTGAAAAAGAACTGAACAACTAGAATATTATGTTCAGTTATGAACTATGTTCTCTAATGCAGGAGCTTGATAAATAATATTAATCAAAGACAATAATGCTGAACCAACTATAATGATTTTATAATTGATCTCAATGTTTGATTTTTAGTGTGAGGATCTTAAAACGTTCTACACGATTTACTTGAAAAAAGAACAATACCTGACTCTTATATACGTTTTCCAAAAGATCTATAGAGGTCCAAATATCATGAAGTCTAAAAAAAAATCCACTGTACTTCTGTGAATTAGCCGATGTTGTTACATTTTGAGTTTAAATCGAACACTGAACTTTATTTAACTAGAGTGTAGGCTGATACTCGATGCACTGGACATGCACCTTCTGGCAAACCCATCCATCTAAAAAAATCCTTTAGATGAGTGCTTTGAAACTGTATATTTCATAGACGTGCATGGGACAGCGCCTTAGGTGCGTACGTGATTGTAGGGACACATACAGGCTATCTGTAGGCTAGCAGGACATTTGGAAAGGGCCTTTCGCTTCCAAAGAAGTTGCTTTCCTTTTTGGTGAAGATTCTTGGCTTGGCGTGGCAGTAGACGACCAATTAGCGTTGCCTTTCAAAGGGACTGACGTCTGTATGCCTTTAAAATGATGAGGAGATTGTTTCGAATAACCAGTACAAATCAAAGATTTAAAGATGACACAGCTATGATCTATTTGCATCACCATGATGACGATATATTAACGATATCATTCTTTCAATGTTATTACCTATTCAGTCATTACGCTAAGGTAAAATAACTATAGTACTTGAGGAAATCCCCACTAAATCAATGAAGTACGTCGTTAATATAGATGCATTATATGCTTGTAAGTACTAGTAGAAAGTTGTAAGATAGAAAACCAAGCTGTGTTATAAAAATTTAAATTTCGAATCAAGCTCAAGTTAATTTTGTTAAGACTATAATTTCGATATGTAGCAGGGTCGCTGCTAAAATGCTGTATAGATCTGTTTGGACATATTCCAAGGCAATTAATGTACTCGTCCTTTATACACGTATTGTTGATATATCCATGTTCGATATCGGAATTGTGTATTCACGACCGTTTCAGTGCATGATTAATTATAAGTTCTTGATCCAGCTAACGTAGCTAACATAGGATCTATATTGATATACCCAACCTGTATCAAATGATCTCTTGCTGAGCAGTATACTATAGGCCAATATTGTTAAGTTAATTAAGTAGACTAATCTTGTTCACTTATACAAAGGTTAAAGCACTAACGCACTATCAATATCTATACTAGCGAAAAGTGCAAATAGTCTATACTACATATTCGCGTTCCATTATATCTTGTACACTCAGCTAGATAGTAGAGACCATATTGAACCCTGATCACAAAAACCCAACACAAATTTTTATTCGTTGCAATATTTTAACAACTCTATGTTATGTATGGTTCGGCTTCACAAAATGCTGCGTAGCTAATGTAGAGCTCGGTGACTCGTGAGTTGTGACTACATGGTACTTCATCATACGTTTGACTCGCGGGTCTAGAGTAGTTTATAATTAATAATTCTTTTCAAACAACCCTGAAAGAGCCGGTATCAAAGCCTTTAGCATTTATGAAAGCTAGTACCAATATAATATCTTAACGTTTACTTGTCAAATATTATAAAAGTTAAAGCGTACTAACGTCTTTATTAGCCAGACCTGAGCGATTCGCATGTGTGTTTTACTATGATCCCCACATGTGTACCATACTAAAAAACTAGTTTATTTAACCAAAGTTCAATCGAAGAACAAACTTTAATTAAGCATTACAGGGGCCACATACCACTTAAGTACCATGTCAGCGTAATTATTGTCTAAGATCTTGAGTGTCTCTCTCGGACGTTGGGGATCCCGGTTTTAATTAAAGTTAAACATATAGGTATAAGTATAGACAAAGTACTGATATATTTATTTAACCGAGGCGTAGCTAGATACATGTTCATTCAACTTTCAATTTTGCGTCATGACCCGGTAATCTCAGGCCAGCTGTACGTCAATATTGTTATATATTTCAAACACAATATCTTAGAGCTTCTTGGTTCTTGGTTTCTTAGATATTTAACATCAGTAGCTCACGATTCGTGATGTAGATTAATATGTTTGAGATCAACCTTATAATAGTACACTTCTACACTATTGGAACTAGCTATTTTATCTACCTGCTATAGTTATACGGCGTACTAGTGCTGCTTTATTCTAGTACTAGCCTCCTTCCTTCAGCTCAAATTCTTACCGGGTCGACGTTGCTTTTTATTGATGTGCACTACCGTGAAATTTCAAGCTAAATTTTAAGTATAAAGTTTTCTTGCCGTAACTTTAAGAGGGACTCTAAAATTGCAAATCCATCCGTTTGACAGGTTCTTTTACGCTAGTTGGAATGGGGAAGACGGGAATAATAGGCACTCAAATTCAAATAGTATATTACTTTTCTTGCAGAAACTATGGATACTGGTACTGGTATAGCGCTAAAACGTCAGTAGTGCGACATAGAAATGTCTGAATAATATTAAAGCACAGAACCCAGAAGTTTGGTGAAGGCTGGGGATATATTCTTGTTGATCTATGACATATAACGAATCTACTATTTACAGTTGCTTCGACAATACGTAACTACCACCCATCAAGGCTGTAATGATGATTGTTCTATTTGGCTTTTACGACATAATATCTACATAGTACATATCATATTCACACACACTATATAGCCTTCACCAAAAAATAATTTGTGTTTTGCACCTATCTCGTATAATGACGTACTCCATATATACCACATATCAGCGCTTAATATATACTAATTCGAAGGATTATGTCACTAATCTATCATAGTATATTCATGTATATATATATAATTATATGATTATTTTATACAACGTTCAGAAGACGTTTAGGGTCAGAAGTTAATGAATAATACATGTCTACACATCTATATTCGAGATAGCATGTATTTTATACTAGCCTATATGATATAGCTATTATACAAGGTCCAAATTTTGAGCGGTACTATACAATATATTAGGCACAGCTCCAACGTCGTATATATTTATCATATATATAGAGCTATAGAGCTTTAAAGCACACGTTTAACGTTACTTACTATAGTTCAATATACAGAATTAGTTATGTAATTTAGCTAGGCTATTGTTTGATCCTTCAGTATTGCAAAACCGTTTTAAAGAGTTTAACATTGGCGTTTAAATTATCTTGTTTGAAACTGTACTCAAACCTGAAGACGTATAGCACAGTAATATTTGAAGCTGTGCATATTTTTATATTAATTCAAAAATGTCTATGGTCTACTAATTTCCCTAAATGTTAAGTAGTACTAAATTCTAATCATACTATTAGACACGGTGCTTCCGATTACACAGCTATATTTAACGTTAAATAAATCTCTTCAACATGCATGTTCTGTCTTGATGTAGAAGAGTTTAATATAGATCATTTTAGGGTACTTCAAAACAACGTCAATAAGTTATGTTCAAGTGATCGACTATCTTGAGACTTGTATAACTATGAGCTAGCTTAGCTGCCAGTATATAACAAGAGCTTAGGTGTCTTCGACGTCTTTAAGCTTTGAGAACGTTATATATATAATAATTGCATTATATATAAGTACTCTGTTTGAGCTATATTCAATAGTACACATTATATCATTATAATAAACCGCGTGTAATAAAGCTGATCAAGCTGGATCAGGAAATCCTGAGGCGCAATTAAGACGGAAAATACAACTACTAGTCATGTCTCTTTAGGTATCTTGAATCATGTGTTCCCATTCCAAGTTAATACTTTAGCCATAAAATTTGACCAATGATTATCTATGATACCTGACGGATGAAGTTGTTGAGATCCCGAGGGATTCACATTAATATCAGCTCTTTATATGTGTCCCCTAAAAAATGGGCCTTAGAGGTGTATGTGTTAGGTATAGACAATTGACATATTTCCGACGAGCTGATTCATAATTAAGAGCCAGCTAATAGCTTCTAATTTGTCTAATTTGGAAATCAAATTATGAAAGAATCCCATATAAATATGATCATATGATAATTGTATAGTACTTAAGCATGTATAATGTAACTTTGAAGCTTGAACCTCTGTTATATAATATATAATTTCGTCGATCTTGATTTAATGATCGATTCTAAATAATTATGCCTGTAATATAAGCAGTGTAGCCCCAGACTTATGAGTTCATGTCGTAATTGAATTGTGCATGGCTAATATGATCTACCTAGCGTAATATCTATATAATTTGTGTATTATTGCCGCTTTGTAATATGTTACGTACCGCAAAAACAAAACCTGTAGGTTGTAACTTGTTATCATGATTTTTCATATTAATAATTGACTCGGCTTGGAAGTTGAACGTTATACTATAAGCGATCATGAATGCCGTTTATATTGTTGATAAGAGTGGGGAGTGTCTTTGAAGAATCGGGTGTCAGCTAGATCTGTGAGGCTCTTTATTCATATGGTCAATGACATATACTGTTGTGTATACCTAAGTTACTGGATCACTGAATCCCAAGAATCTTGATAGCGCAAAGAATAGTGTCAATCTGAAATCTGTTCTTTCAAGTTTTGACGTTGTAACTTGTGACCATAGTTTATTTAACCATGCTTTTAACTTCTAACTTCTGGTTCGAAGTACTATCACCGAATATTGTGTCGATCGTTAAGAACTGGAACTTGGGAATCGGGATTCACGATTTTGTACAGCTGCGCTTGGATAAAATTTAACTTTCAAAAAAAACGAGCATGTCTCAGGCTTCAGCTGCAATGGTTAAATGAACTTTATTATCGATTCGCGGGGCCGTGTTCAACTTTCAAGACGTACACAGTGCACACATATTATAATACAACTTCAAAGTTAATACCCACAGTATACAGTTGGGGTAAATACCAAAGTAATAAAGAATCACCTAAAAGTCAGGGTACACTATATATTAATGATCATTAAGATTCATTCAGATTAACTTCTATGGTTAATTTTACGCTGTTTTCGAGTCTAATTACTTTTGCAGAGTGACCATTTACTCGTGATCGAGCCTGAAACCTATAGTATAGCTAAGGCTAGCCCAATATAATTGCTAATATTTAATTGTTGATAATATGCTAGGCGCTGATAACATATCTATATTGGCACACAACAATTACACACGGCTAATATGCTATCTGTCTATATATAAGGATCACTATATTATAATACAGTTATCTGGTAATAACGTCTTATCGATAATATTTGCTCATATATTCTTTTGTCCACAATTTTTGCTGGAAATGTATGACGGCCTATATCTCTTAAGCGCATCAGCGCTAAAATTATGACAGGTGAAGAATCAAGATTGGTTCGTTGGCACATATAATTGATCGACAACATATAAGAGGCTCTACTAGGGCGATTCAGTAATAGGTAATTCATTTGATGTCTTTACACTTCATGCAAATATGTGTCCCCTGTAGTCTTGGCCGGATGATATTTTCCACTTGAATATACTAATATATACTTAGTACTTATAAGTCCTAGCATAATTGATATATATATATATATATTTATTATATGAATATTATGTATCTAGCTACGTCTGAGTACCCTTAGAACGCTGTAATATAGATGAGCAGAGAATCTCATCGACTGGTCGACTATAGCTAGTACTGAGCAATTTCATAAAATAATATTGTATACAGCTATCCATCGCCAAATTATGTGATTTGTTACCAAACTTTCAAACTCTATGTGTTATATAGGCTGATGATCTTTCACTCTAATTCTCACAAATTAGTTTAGCAAGTAGTTAATATCAACATGTACTTCGGCTTTTGAAATTGTTCTACAATTTATCTGTATCAGCACTCTATCTCACCAGGTAGTAGGTAGGTACTAGGTAGTATCGTAGTATCTAAGAATTTTAATTAAGTACTTGAAACTAGCTTATTTCTGGAAATAATCTTAACTTAGGTATCTCTTTACGAAAGTTGCAGCTTAACTTGCGAGTTTGGCACTTTTCCGGTACTTCTTGAAAATCTAAGCTGTAATTGATAATTCGGTACGTTGTATAGAATATATTGCAACTGTTGTTCTCGAAGCATTGTTACTAAAATCAATATAATTAATGGTACAATTATAGTCAACTTCCAAAAGATGAAGGCGTACAGACTCCAGAGGTGTTGATCCAAATGTTATAAAGAATCTTAATGATAATAATAAGCCCTTTCATTACACTCTAGTTTAAATATCCTCGACTTTCAGGTACTATGCTGGTTTGGACTCTGGAATTGAACTCTGTAGCTGCACTACGCAGTCTCAAGATCATATGATAATTTGAGACATCGACAAAATTATTGGAGCTAGAAATTTACAATAGTATCTGGCATCTTAGATATATAGTACTTTAATAAAACCTCAGCTCAATATGATCATGGGTCTCATATCTACAATTATGAAAGTTTTAATCAACAGGCCCTAGAGCTGATACAAATTACTAACCCATCACTTTAATCGCTCATACTGCACTATATATATAGAAATTACAGAACCAAACTTATTGATCTGGATCCTGTGTTAAAAATGAAATCACGGCAATCTAAAAAGTTGACGTTTCATCGTTTCACAAAATTGAGTTCAAGCTCGATGTTTATTTGTCCCATCAGAGTTGCGTCTTTACTGAATCCTGCATGCTGTGTGTCATTCTCCGTGTTTGCATATACCGGAATGTCCACTTTTTCGTAAAATTTTAATTCCAGTTTCCAAAGTGACATTGACAAGATTCCAGAAGTTTTGATTGACGATGTGCAGCTACAAGTTTCGAATTTCGCTTGACCTCAAAAAGCTTTTTAGCCTGAGCTAGAAGTTAATTTCTTAATGAATTGGAGATTTTGCAAGGCAAAGAATAATTTCGGTTAAATTAAAACCTTTTAGACCTTCTTCCTCGGTAAATAACCTTTCGACGTTGGAGATAAATGTCAATGTTCACCACTTGCTTCAACCCAACCTTAATATTTTATCATGATCTATTTTAATATCAATTATGTTGAAAAATTCCTTTAGCCCTGGTCCCTACATGATGGAGTCCTCTTGTTCAAATTATGACTATCCATGACCAGGTACTAGTGAGTCGTGACCAGTACTCGAACTTCTTGATCACTCACGGTCCAACAAGGGAAATTAAACAAAACAATACATCTGCTGGACATATATTTTTAAAAGGGTCCTGATTTGAAAAGGTCAGAGATGTCTCATCAGTGATCAGTGTGCACTATCCTACTAAGTCTCTAACATGTCTCTAAAGATATATATACTATCTACGTTAAAATCACTGTTTGAAGTATAAGCTGTCGCCGAAAACTAAAGGCATCGCAGCTATAAGCTGCTATATAATTCTTGCCGAAGTCATACACATTGCAACCTTAGGTATATAATTTTTTCTATGCTTATTTCACATGCCTCATTGGCTGGCAAGCTAAAGGGAAAGTTAAATCGATCCAGGATAATTATTAATTTTTGAGAGGTCTACAAACAGTAAAAGAGTTCTAGAAATACCAGAAGGCGTACAGCTTCTGTTTAATGATTCTTATGAAATTATATGTATAAATAGCACTGATGCTAGATTGTACTACTATCGATTCCACGGTCAATGGTTATTCAACAAGCACTGATAGTTTACGGTTGTAATTAATCATGTCTAGTTATGAGTAGCTTATCACTTATTACTAGAGGCCGACAGATTACAAAATAGTGGGTCGTCTACAAAAGCTACAGCCCGTGTTTATAGCACATTGTGATATATCATACAAGTACATACTAAACTATATATGTGATCGATTAGATTCGAATGTTTCAAAAGTATAAACGTCGCTAATTTAGATCAACATAGTCGATGATCCACAATTATACTCATCAATATTATATAGATATTGATATTTCAATGAAATCTTAATACTCTTTGCTTTTCTCTTTGCAAAAATTGTACTATAGGACGAGTTGAATCTTTGTGGCTCTATCTTTTCTCTCTAATATCTACAACATGCATTATACAATTGGAAGTTGGCTCGTCCTTTATGAAAAGATCTAAAGAGCTGTATATCTGGCTAATGGAAGTGAGTTTCACCTTCTTTCATGTAAGCTTCGTATATATATTCTCTGTGAGATTACTCTTGATACTGAATAGAGTATATGTAACTTCTTCATGATCAACTGTCTCACGGGATCTAGTTGAGATTCCAGATTCCAGAACTAACTGCCTTAGAAACAATTCACCTTAAACGGTACCTAAATTGAAGTACTTGATTTAACAAAATATCTTAAAGTAGAGCGCATACCCGTCCCATACAGTAAGACTTAAGTACACCATAACTTTCAAGGCGTCAATTATCATTTTGGGACAAATGCAATCATATATGGTTCCTGGATCTTGTAGAGCTCTAATTACAGAAGAGGTTTAAATTTGTATAGTGCGGGTACATATACTAACTAATTAGGAAAGCTAAGTAGCTCATAACACCTTACCATCAGAAACTTAAGTGTAGATCGACAATGATGGAGGCCCTGCTGTTATGGGTCGTTCAATCAAGTGGCTGCTTATTGTCCGTTAACGACTAATATAATCGAGATTCTAGATCCCCATTGTCTATATGTAAGGCTCCGGTAGTATTAAAGTTACAGTTTATACATATATAACATGGTTAGTGTACATCAACGTAAGTCAATTTTAACGGTTTAAGTCGCTAACGTCGGTATCCTTAAGGAAGTTGGAATCCAATATATGGATGATGGCCAACTCGGTCAAAGTCGCTAGACGTTGAAACTATAATTTCATGAAAGAATTAATTTGAAAAATTTTACACTAGTATAGATCGATCAAGCTAATATTTATTTTTACGAATATCGTCTCACCTCCAACTTACGCCGGTGCTTATAAACGGCTTAAACAAATACATAAGTACTCTTAAAATGTAAAGTTTAAACACTCCCTTAATAATTATAAATATCACCTTATTTTATGCAAACCTGAATAACAATTACATATTAATCCCAGAATCTTACATCCTACGCCTTGAGACTTATGGCTTGTCCAAGCTAACAACGAAAATCAATCAAAAACGAATCTGTATTCTTAAATTGAAAGAAAGAAAAAAAAAAGACAAAATATTTAATTGATTACCTATAGACAAAATATCTTATTGGCCTGGAGGACCACCGCCTTCTTTTAATGATGAACGACCAGCTTTCAATAATTCATCACATAATAATAAATTACTTGCAATACCAACACTTGAAGTAACTGCATTTCTTAAAACTCTGAAAGAATCCCAAATACCTTCAATAGTTGGATCACATGAGTCACCATCATTCAAATCAACACCAACAACACGTTCATCATTCAAATCATCTTGACATTGAGCAACAACATCTAAAGCATCATGACCTGCATTTCTAACTAAAGTCTTTGGAACAACTAATAAAGCATCAGCAAAAGCTTCAACACCAGTCTTGTTACGACCTTCAGCTAAATTAGATAAGTTTTTCTTTAAATAATCAGAAGATGCAATAAAGAAAGCACCAGCACCTGGAACAACTGCATTATCTTTAATAACATTAGCAACGGCTCTAAGACCATCTCTAACAGCATCTTTTGTTTGATTTAAGGCATGATTTGTGGCACTTTTAATTAAAATTGTAACAGATTTTGGATCTTTATTTTCTGTAACAAATGTGAATTTTTCTTCACCAATAGTTTGTTCATAAACTTTCCCACTATAACCTAAGATTTCTGGAGTTAAATCATCAACTGAATTTTGTGCTTCACCACCAGTGACTAATTGTAATCTTTCCATATTACGTCTCTTGGCTCTTCTTAAAGCTAATATGTTATGTTTTGCTAAAACATCTAATGACATTGGATCAATACCTTTTTGATTTATAATAACAAAACCTTTATCTGAATCTAAACCACAAACTTCATTTTTCAAATCAACAATTTTTTTCAATTTTTCATCAACAAATTTTCTTTCAGATTGAATTAATTTATCTCTTTGTTCTGCAGAACTATAAAAAAAACTTGAATTAACTTCAGTTTTTTCATATTCTAAACTAACATTTAAAATTAAAACATATGCATTATTAACCAATTTTGGCATATCTGGATGTCTACCACCATGATCTAAGACTAAACCTTTAACTAATTCTGTATTTTTAGCAGATTCATGTTGCATTTGCATGATTTCAACCATATGTAAATCTAATGATTCTTCACTTTTAACATTTAAGACAGCATCAGTAACAATTGGTGTAAGTACTTCAGTAACATCTTTATTAACTTTTGTTGATAATGAAGATCTTGCAACTTGTAATAATAATTCACGATCTAATTCTGGATTTTGTTTAAATTCATCTAAATATTTTAAAGTATTTTTTCTTGCAATTTCAAAACCATCAGTAATAATTCTTGGATGAACACCTTCAGTAATGAATCTTTCTGCTTGTTTTAACAATTCACCAACTAATAGAACAACAGTAGTGGTACCATCACCGGTGATTTCATCTTGTGCAGCAGCAGCTCTTGCAATCATAACAGCTGTTGGATTTTGAATTTGCATTTCACTAAGTAAAACTTTACCATCTTTAGTTAATTTAATATTACCTGAACCATCAACAAGCATTTTTAAAGTACCTTGAGGACCTAAATTAGTTTCTAAAACTTGTTGAAGACCTTGAGCAGCGGCAATATTAACTCGTAGAGCAGCATCTCTTCTTAATGATTCTGCTTTTGGATTCAACAATTGAAGAGTTGAACCTGATGAAGGACCACTCATTTTTGTATTATTTGAAATTTATAAATTTTCCTTGTGAAGATAGATTTATGAAATGAATTCAAATCAATTGATCAATCCTTTTGGGTATCTGGAAACAATAAGATCAATAATAAAACGTATCTTGATTTAAAATCTTTTATAAATATAAATAACGTCGCCATTCTCTTTTTCAAAATTCGCGTTTTTTGATATTTTTTTATTGATTCCCGCGAATTTAATTTTTGGCGTAAAAATTATAAGATCGCCGCGAAATCTGAGAATTTACCCGGATATTATTAAGATCTATATTAACAATAAAGCTGTATTTACACAAGTTTATAATACTTCTCTTTGCAATAACTACTACTATTAATTATTCATAAACCTATGCACATTGAAAATTTAAAAAAAAATACTATACAAGTCATTCAAAAATAAAAAAAAAAGCATTTGATCATAAATATATCATCTTTTTTATATTCTTTTAACAGCACCACCAGCACTTTTTTCATTTCTTGCACTTAAAACTTCAACACCAGTTTCAGTGATTAATAATTCATGTTCAAATTGAGCACTTAATGAACCATCAGCAGTAACTGCAGTCCAATCATCAGGCCATGAAATATCTTTATATGAACCTGCATTAATCATAGGTTCAATAGTGAAAACCATACCAGGTTTCATAATACCTGGAGATTTATTTCTTGCATAATGAGCAACTTGTGGAGCACAATGGAATAATTTACCAATACCATGACCAACATAAGTACGAACAACTGAACAATTATTTTGTTTTGCATGTTTTTCAATGATATCACCAACTGATCTAAAAGTAACACCTGGTTTACAATGTTTAATAGCTAAATCTAAACATTCTCTTGCAGTTTCCACAACATTTATAGCTTGTTTTGATAATTTTTCCCCTACATAATAAGTTTCATTCATATCTGCATGATAACCATTATGATATAATGAAATATCTAAATTAACAATATCACCATCTTCTAAAGGTCTTTTATCTGGAATACCATGACAAATAACTTCATTAACAGAAGTACATACACTTTTACTAAAATTATAATAATTTAATGGTGAAGGATAAGAATCTCTTTCAATAGTTGCATTATGAACAATTTCATCTAATTCATCTGTAGTAATACCTGGCTTAATTGAAGCAGCAGCAATATCTAAGACTTCTCTTGCTAAAGTAGCAGCTTTTTTAATTTGTTTAATTTCATCTTCAGAATTAATTGGAATTTTACCTGAACGATCAGATACATGTTCAGAAATTGGTTGACCATTTGCAGAATAATCAGGTTTAGCAATATGATCTGGAACAATTCTCTTTGGGGTTAAAGGATATTGAGCTCTAACTTTACCAGTATAATTGAATTCTGGGAATGGATCATATCTTTCCACACCAGGTTTATTATGAATAGATTTATGTAAAGCCCAATTTCTTTTAAAACATGATTGATCACAAAAGACACTTGTAAGACCTTGTTTTAAACAAACAGGACATTTTAATGAAGATGTAGTTTCTTTACCACAGTCTGGAGCAGCACAATAGATAACGGGGCTTGTAGTCATTATTTGAAATGAAAATGTATTGTTATCAAGTTTTGGACTTTAGATTAAAAGTATGCATATTGTATATTTCAAATTTTTCTTTATTTTTTTTTTCCTTTTCCCGCGTATGATCTAATCGTAATATTTAAATTCGCGAACAATAAAAACTCCGAATCCTGCTTATTAAGCGGTATACAGTACAAATTGAGTAAATACAAGCGCTAATTCTAAGTAAATTAATATGATATTATGTATTAATAAAGATTATATTACGATAAATATGTTTATACGTATTTCTGTGCTTTTAAATGACTTTTTTTGGTGAATTTTGGACTTAATTAGGTACTGATGCTAAATTAATATATGACATTGTGTGATGCAAATGATTATGAGAATTGATAGTAGAAATATGTGTATGATCATCTCTTGACTAAAAGGACATGGAAGTCAATGTAGAGTTTATGATATCTTATAATTGTTCTGGGCCAAAACTATAAGGTAATAATTCATTCAATGTTAATTTTTTATAATCACCATTTTTTTTAAACATATAAATTAACGTATCTTTACCAAATTCTCTAATGAATTGTCTACATATCCCACAGGGAGTTATAATCTCATCTAAATCACTTGTTATTCCAATTGCTTTGAATTCAAAATCTTTATTTGTGACAGCTTGACATATTGTATTTCTTTCAGCACAGACACAGGCACCTTGTATTGTTAATATCATGGTATATTAAATCAATTGATTATTATTACTCACCATATGATGCATTCTCTACATTAGCAGCTCTATAATAGTTCCCACTTCTTGCTAATATACAACAACCAACTCTATATCACTTGGTTAATATTATGAACATATTAACATTCAATCATAGATAACAATCTCGAACTCACCTAAATTTTGAATATGGAGAATAAGATAATTCTCTAGCTTCAAATGCTTTTGTTTTCAAAATTTCAAATTCTTCATTGGTTAAAGTGTTGGACATTTCTCTTAAGCTTTCACCCATTGTCGATTATTTTAAGACTTTGAATTGTCAATGAAAAAGTCGATGGTTGATGGTTATCTTATCAAGCTAAAGCATAAATAAACCAATCGCGAACAATCACCGTACTCAAAGGCACCGAGGAAGTAAAGATCTTCAACAGAACAAAGAACAAAGTTGGTTTGACATGGATCAGATCGTGTCTTGCTATGTGGTGCTTACTGTGCTGACTGGGATGGTTCAAATCATCAAAGCGTGGAAAAAGGGTGGAATTCTGTTCAGTTATTGTGGGTTAAGCTTGATGACTTGATGACTCGTATAAAGAGAGTCTCTGTCTAGCTTCTGTCTAGCTTCTGTCTAGCTTCTGTTTAGTATTTACCTTCTGTTCAACTTTTAAGTTCTGTCTAAAATTTAGTGTCTACTGTTCCACTGTCTGATTAATTAACCGAATCTCTACCCAACGCACCATGTGGCTCCCTGTCTAGCTACCCAGCGTCTCAACTCTCCTGCCCAACGTCTCTGCCCAACACGGTACACTTCTGCCCAGCAGCCCAGCAATGACTCTTTGTCGTCTGCCCAGCAGTGTGGAATCCGCCACTGGAAAAACCTGCGAAAAGAAATTAAAAAAGTGTCATTTTTATTTTTATTGGAAATTAAAATCAATTTGAATTCAAAATAACCATTCACGGTCTCCAGATACAAAACATTCAAATCAACTCCTATCAAACTGCTTTAAACTGGTGCTGAACCGCAGAAGAGTGGTCTATCCATCACAGACATCTAGACTAGACCTTACCCTCCATCAACAGGATCAAAACTGGCTCTTTTTACCTCGCTTTTTGTGCATTTTGAATCCATTATTAATATAGCGCTGTGCTATACGAGAGATTCCTAATATAAATATCAATTTCAACACATCCCAAATACAACATAGATCAAACATGGCTAAAGTGAAAATAAAGGAAATAGATTCCCTGTTCATTCTCAGGCATGCCCAACGTTCTGATAAAGTTGCCACTACAACTTCTTCCATTGATTTCGTTGCTAGTAATAGTCATCATAATATTCATTCAAATCCAATAACTTATACAATATCAGATACGTATAATCCTCCTTTAGCAACATTCCAATCAACAAATAATAAATCAAATAATGGTTATTTACAATCAATGAATTTGGGTCATCAAATATTAAACTATATTGAACAAAATATTGAAGAAGAAACTGTGGTTTTAAAATTTCATACTTCACCATATTTAAGATGTATTGAAACTATAAGGTATATTTTGGATTTCTTGGTTAAATCTTATCAATATGAATATGGTAATGATAATACAAAGACAATAAGATGTATCATAACAATAGATCAAGTTCTTTCAGAATGGTTAAGTACAGATCTAGATATTGATTTATATCCTCCTCATGATAATGGTGCTTCTTTATTAGGTGCTGCTATTCAATATTTGAATTCAAATTTACCATTCCATAGAAATAATCAAATTGAAATTCAATTGGATTATAATAATAGTTATAAACATGGGAACCCAGGAGTTTTCAGTGAAAGTTTTGTTCAACAATATTCAAGATTAAATAATGGGTTAATATCAATAGTGAAAAATGAACATGAATCTCTTTCACAAGAGCCAAATACAAAAGATATAGTATTATTAATGACTCATGGTGCTTGTGTTAGAAGTATTGTTTCAAAATTATTGGGTAAATCATTACATTTAGAAATTCCATTAGCTTCATTATCAATTGCAAAACCTCTTATGGAAGATTCAAAACATTATTATTGGCAATTATTGAAAACTGATATTGAAACAAGATTACCTCATTTCCATCAAGTTGATCTTTATTCTAAAATGGATCCTTTCCAAGATTATCAAACTACTTTTAATCATAATTCAAATCATAATCAATTAAATTTCCAAAAATTGATACCTGCTTCTAAAACTGAAAATTTTAATAGAATTAGATCTCAATCACTTTTAACTCCAAGAAGAAACTCTAAATTATCCCGAAAGAAGGGAGATGATGATGATGATGAAGATGATGAAGACGTTGATGATGATGATTCAAGTGATGAAGGTATTACATTCACAACAAGACGTAGAAGGGTTACAACTTCAGCTTCATCTTCAAATGTTGATAATCAAAGAAGATTTAGGTCATCAAGTCTTTTTGGACCAATTTTGAAAAATCCATTTTTTTCAGATGATTCATTAAGTGATTATAATGATCAATCAAAAAATCAAATATCAAAAGATACAAATAGTTTTGAAAACCGTAAAAAATCATTAATGAAACAAAAAATTGATATTGATTCAATAAACCCAAAACAAAAAGATCCAAATTCAAATTCTTATCAAAATATTGATGAAGATGATGGAATCTTGGGTAAACCAATTTATCGTACTAGATCAACAAAGGAAAATTCTATATCAAGTGAAATTTCAAATGAATTGGTACCTGATTTAGGAGGTTCATTATCTTCAAATAATTCATCTTCTCATAGTCTTACTGATATAAATGATGATGATGATCAAGAATTAAGTGTTTTCCCAGGTACATTATCAAAATTATCTTCATCTTCAAAAGAACAAGATTCTTCATCACCAACTCCACCTCCAACACATTTTGATACCCCAATGGATCCAACTTTACATGAACCATCAACAAGCTCTACAATGCAATATCATAATGATCAAGATTTTTCATCAACTTCAACATTACAAGTTAATAATACAATATCTGAACAATCAACAATTAATAATAATAATAATAATAGTAATAAAAAATCATCAATATTTGATAAATCATTGATTGAGAAAACTCTTAATGAAATTCAAATTCAAGAACCACAAGATCATCAAAAAGAACTAGACAATGATTGGTTATTATTCCATAATAAAAACAAATCAATATCAAAACCTAAAACACCTGAACCTGATAATAAATTTAAAATCAATTTATATGGTAAAAAGGATAGGCTAAGATTAAATTTATATGGTGATGATAATGAAAGTGATGATGGATCTAATGGCTGGTTCTTAGGTTCAAATAAATATTAAAAATCATTTGGAACCTTCAACAATTTTGATTTCAATTCTAATTTTAAACAAAAATTAATTAATTAATAATAATACCTTGCTAGAAGTGGGAATCTTTATATTCAATCTATTCAAAATAGCTTCAATGACATTCTTTTAAACTTTTTTTTCTGTTTCATTAGTTTCAAAAGATAAACTAATGGTATTATATGAAGTTTAATCATACATTTGTGTTTTATGTTTTGGTTTTTTATCTTATAGAGTCGATAATAGGGTGTTTAAGTTTTATTTATAAAAGTTTATTTATACAAATTCATATTATATGAATAAATTATCATGATGTAGAATTTGATCATATGTATATTGGTTATAAGAATAAATAAATAAATATATAGTTTTGTAGACAAATAAAGTAACACTTTCAAGTTAACAAAATATCTTTTAAAGTTTTCCAAAAAGTTTCATTACGAATTGGTATAACAATTTCATCCAAAATTTTGGTTAATTCTTTTGCTTTTTCTAAATTTCCTAATCTTTCATAAATTAAAATTGTATTTTGTAATGATTGTTTAGAAATAATTGTAGCTGGGATATTACTTCTTGCAAAAGCAGATGACTCTGAATATGAATCTTGAGCCCATTGTAATGAATTTTGTACAAGTCCCTTTTTATATAAAATTTCTGCAATGTAATTTTTCAACAATGGAGAATCAGTCATTAATGGTTCTTCAATTGATTTAGAATCTTCACTTTGGGATCTCTGAATAGAAATTTCTGTTAATTGTAATAAATTCAAGAAAATTTCCAAGGCTTTTGACGAATTATCAGTCTTGGAATATAAAACTCCTAAATTTAATAAACTTTCAAAAGTTTCTCTATTTAATCTTGAATTTGGATCTAATATTAATGAACCATTTTCTTTGAAACGAATATCATCATGATGAATTTCATTAAACCTTACAGCATCAATCAAATAATTTTCAGATTTTTCAATTGGATCTTTTTGTAATGTGGAAATTTTTGATAATAATCTCAAACTTCTTGATCTCATATCTAAGGATCCAATATCAATTGGGATAGCAGTTGAATACATCACTAATTTGTAAGCATTATCCAAATCACCAAGTTCTGCTTTAGCTATTGCTAATCTAATAACAACATCAATATAACTTTTTTGCCAATCTTTACTTTTCTCTTTAACTTTATTTAATGGTAATAATTTGAATTTCCCATAATTTTCATTTGCATTATTTGAATCAATAATTTCACCTTCAGATTCAGCAACTATTTTCAATGCATTAGTGAAATCTTCAACTTCTTGATTAGCATCCCTATAATCATCTTGAATATCTTGATGATAAACACCTAATCTTGTATGATATTTAGCTAAATATGACCACTCTTTTGAAATATCTTGATATTTTGAAATATAATATGTGAAGCCACCATACCCAGCACCACAGAAAACTCCTAAACTAACTAAAAACAATAAAAACCCTTTAGAAACAGCTCTTGAAATTTGATGAAGTCTAATTGCAATGGGGTTTGTAATGACAATTTTAGAGATTGATCTTTGAGGATGAAATTGCAGCTGTTTTGAAACCGGTCTAAGTCTCATTTGAGATCTAATTGATCCCAATCCTCGAGAAAACATTTCTTCAGTCTGTTTGTCCTTCAGGTTTCCAATTTTTCCAATGTCTTTCAAGTTTTGATGATAACAATAAGACTCAGAAATTTCTATGGGGCAAAAAGAACGGAAGTTTTGATTTTAACGTGCACGCAACATTTTCGAATTAATCCATTGCGAAATAATTTGTTTACTAAAAACAAAGAAAATTGTGACACTTTTTAACGGTTTTCAATAAATGTTGTAAAGCTTTGAAAGGTTCTTTTTTTGGTTAGCAAAAGTTTATACTATCACAGGCTGAAATGGTCGCTGCTGGGATGCTTCGACGGAGACAGGTCCAGAAAACAAAGGGTGTACGGTACCATGAGAAAGACGCTATAGAGAACCCAAGACTGAAGAGGCTGTTGAGATGGCTCATCACAGATCCAACGAGCCCCAAGGATGAGAGACTACCTATTCATAGAAACTACCAAGGATGGAACCAGGGAAATATGGTGTTTTTGCTCGGTGGAAGATTCAGATACATAAAATCAAGACCAATATCGTTCTTTACGGGTTTCATGGTGATACTTCCTGGTATATTATTTTGCATTTTTGAGTGAGTAATATGAAAAATTATATGAATTTATTTTGCAAATACTAACTTAGGCTATACTAGCGCTGCATGGTGCTGGAATAACATTTCACCTGCTGTTGTGATTACATTTCTGTATCTTTGGCTTATATGTATCGCATCGTTTATAAAAGCTGCTACATCAGATCCTGGGGTGAGTAATCAATATAAATAATTGACTTTTTAGGGCTATAAACTAACTTTCAACTTACAGGTAATACCCAGAAACATACATACAGCAGATGAACCATTTAATTTACCAGATGAATACTTCAATACAATCACATTACCATCATATAAAGAAAGAAGTGTTGATATCAAATATTGTTTAACATGTCGAGATTGGAGAATGCCTAGATCATTCCATTGTTCAAGATGTGATCATTGTGTCAGTATTCACGATCATCATTGTATTTGGATCAATAATTGTGTTGGAGAAAGAAATTATAGATATTTTTACATCTTTTTATTATCAGGTTGTTTAGCTGCAATCTATTTTTCCATATTAGCATATTATCATCTTTTCAAATATAAAAGCCAACATGGATTCAGCATTAAACATGCATTACAAAAAACGCCAATGAGTTTATTTAATGGTATTTTAGGTAATTTAATTTTGTTATACCCATTGTTGCTACTGATATACCATACATTTTTAATTTCAACAAATCAAACAACAAGAGAATATTTAAAGCAGTTCAAATCAAAAACTAATAAAAACCCATATAATCTAAATAATGTTTTTTCAAATATTATGGTTTCACTGTTTAGACCAAGAGGATCAAGCTATATAAGTATTCGTGGAGAATATAAAGAAGATGATTGGAGGTTCACTAGATTCCCAGAAGCTACAAAATTTGAAAAGAATTGATTTCCCCCATTGTATTATATAACACTTAATAATTCATAATTATTGCATTTAATTGAGAAAATTAACAAATATATTTTTGAGTGTAGTTGAGTAGATAAGCATATGAAGTTGTCATATAACACTGGGTGATATATATACATAAATTGGAACCATCACCATTAACGA